CGGCCATAGGCATCACATATTCGTCCTTAGGGGTAGCTAGATTCAAATCCCTGAAATCGATGCATATCCTTATCTTACCATTTTTCTTGACCACTGGCACAATATTAGCCAGCCACTCCGCATAACGGCAAGGCTGAATGAAACCCACTTTGAGAAGTTTTTGGATTTCTTCCTTGATTTGAGGCATCAGATCCGGGCTCATTCGCCTTGGAGGTTGTTTGTAAGGTTTACAACCTTCTTTGATAGGCAATCGATGCTCTATTAGACTTCTTGTCAAACCAGGCATCTCTGAATAATCCCATGCTAAACAATCAATGTTGTTTCTAATAACTTCGAGCATCATTGTTTGTTGCTCTTTAGACAAATAACCACTTAACCTGATCACTTTTGGAACCAATTCGGTTCCTAAATTAAACTCCAATAATGGGTCTTGTGATGAAGCTGTTGGTTCTGTTTTTTCTAATAAGTCGGGCCAACGAAATTGTTCATCTTCTTGGAGGTGAACATCCAGAATTTCTTTACTATTTTCTGCTTTATGTAATAACTGCTTTAAATAGAACTTATTAATAAGAGAACTACATACTTCTAAGCTTGTATCTTCCATTACAAACAAATTATATGGGAATGGGTGTGGCTTTATCATGAGCCATACAATAAAGGTGTTCTTTTAATAGAACATCGAGTTCTGGCCAGTGACTTTATAACCCTTGTTTGGGTATTCCCTGGCCATATACAATTGAGACATCGGAGCCAAAGGACTGGAATAAAACACTGACTCTTCAACTTGTTCTGATACATCGAATGGGTTGTCATTCGCTTCCATTTTGAAGACCTGATTTCCTTCCCAGAACATTAATTGTTGGTGCAAGGTTGATGGCACACATTGAGAGGCATGAATCCAGTCTCTTCCCAGCAAGAGAGAGTATGTAGTATCTGCGTCCACAATGAAGAAAACAGTGGAGATCTTCTTTGGCCCGACCTCGATCATGGCAACCATCATGCCTTCAGGCTTAGTCGGCTGCCCTGTAAAACTTGTCATTTCGAATTCCACAGGAGATAGATCATGTATTCCTTTCCCTAACTTCTTGAGAGTCTTCAATGGCATAACATTAAAAACTGCTCCATTATCCACGAAAACTTTTGTGATTGGTTTCCCACAAATATGAGCATTAACATACAGAGGCTTCAAATGAGAGATCGCACCCTCTGGAATAGGAGGAAACACAATCGAAGGTGTTTCCGACTGAGGATCGGAATCTGAGGTCTTTGCCCCCTCTGTCTCCTCTAATTCACCATCTGCCAAGAATGCCCATAAAGGTTCGTCCATAGTTTCATCTACCAGACTCGCCCACATCGGTTCATCACTCATCTGATTAATCTCTGTCATTCGACAAGGGATTCGTGGTCCCAGACGAGATTTAACAGATCTTGAACTTTCCTCTGTAGTTACTACTTCTTCCTTTGTCTTATCCCGAGATTGAGATTGAACCGTCAAAGATTCAATACGGAATTCCTCAAGAGATGGATTGATGTTGATTCGTTCACAATGTTGGCATCTAAAACCTTTAATTATTTCATCTGCCATCCCTTTACCTTTCCCCAGTCCCGACGAACTTCCTTTGGCGTAGTCGGAAGCGCCTAATCCGACGTTCGGTTGCTTTCCTGAACAGACCCGACTGGACCGACCTTTTGGAGATTGAGTGGCTGCTCCTTGCTCGTTAGTCGTTTGTTCTGTAAAGATTCTAATAGACTGATCTCCTGCCAAGTGGTCGGCTGCTTTTTGTTCGTCGGTTAGTCGTTTTGCTATAGGAACTCGTTTCCCATACTTTGCAGCATACCTGCGTTTGGCATTGCGAATCTGTGTACGATTCATACCTGGGAACCGAGGATCTATATCAACTGGTAAAGGCTTTTTGTTTCGAGCCCAATTGCTCCCGACCGACCCTGTTTTTCTGGTCGGGTGATCACGTACCAAAACCTTTTCTTTCACCTCCACATTAAAAGAACCATCTGGATGGTCCCACTTTTCAGCAACTGGCTTCTCACAAACTTTGAGTCGTTCTTCCGGTCGGCTGCTGTTTGGCCGACTTCCTTTTTTTGTTTCGGGGCTTGGCTGGTTTCGTTCCCCTTTTTGTCCATCATTGGCCGAACTTTTCCTTGTTTCCGAACTTGGTTGGATGTCAACCATTGCCGTTGTTACATTCGGAAACGGTTGCTGGTCTACACCTAGAGTGATGTATTTGAGCCGACCTGTCTTGATGGCCTTTTGAATTTCCTTCCTAAAATGAGTACACTGACTTGTAGTGTGTGTGAAAGAATTATGCCACTTACAATATGGTCTCCCTTTGATTTCTTCTTTAGTGGCAAGTCTTTGCCCCTTTGGAATACGGATCTGCCCATCAGTCAGTAGGATATCAAAGATTTCATCAGCTTTCGAACTATCAAAGGTCGGTTGCTCCTTTCCTTCAAATCCTGGTACTGGCTTCAATTTAGGACATACATACGGTTTTCCAGAAAGGATTTCGGCTGCCATCTCTTCTGACTGATTAAAATCAAAGTCACATGTTTCTGTTCCCATACTCGCCATATGTTGGCCTCTATTACGCCTGTTATGCTGATCTTCCTCTCTGAACAAAGACTCTAGACGTCCTGCCTTGGATGCAAGACTTGCCAAATCCTCAACATCCAGGGCAGTGAGTGCCTTTCTTAAACGAGTATGCATATTCCGGACCACTAAATTGGTCATCTCTTTCTCACTGATTACCGTAGGACATCGTCCCTTTATCAATCGCACCCTTTCTATAAACTGTGAAGCAGATTCTTCTGGAAACTGTCTCAATTCTAGAAGATCAGTTAAAGAAACAACTGGTAAAGGATTGAAGAATCTAGCGTGAAATGCCATCTTCAGTCCTTCCCAAGTCTGAATTTGTCCAGGAGGCAGACTTACAAACCACGAAAACGCCGTTCTAGTAAGAGATAACCCAAACAGCTGTAACTTATAAAAAGGGTTATTGCCAACTTCTCCTAATTGTGCTGTGAACCGACCAACATGTTCTATGGTGGAAGATCCGTCCTCCCCTGAGAATGCATGAAAGTCGGGTGGTCGAAAATTCCTTGGGAGAGGGTGTTCATTAATGATCCTTTCTGGGAAAGGTCTCTGATATGCAGGGCGGTTAGCCATCTGAGGAGTTAATCCATACTGATCCCTTAATATATGTGCAATCTCGTCAGGATCTACATGCAAGCGTTGATGATCAGGAACATGGAACGGATCCTGCACAGGAATATGAATAGGATCATGTATATATCCTTCAGGCCTGTCCTCCCTTGTATTGTTCGGCTGCGGATTGGTAACCCTTGGTCCCAGTGGAACAGTGTTTGGAAAAGTCAGAGGAGATTTTCCCCTATCCATTCGGTTGGGATTTGTGGCACTTGGGAATGTACTATCCACGAATGATGGCCCTGCGAAATATGCCTGTGGTCTGGATGGTGATGTTCTTGGTGGAGTTTGAGTGGGTTGAAGACTAACCCTTGACAGTGCTTGATCTATCATGTTCTGCATCAGACTCTGTTGCTCACGCAACATGTTCGTTTGTTGCTCACGCAACATTTGTTGAACAAAAGACCACAATTCAGCTGGTGGTTGTGGGATTTCCCCGGCAGTTGGCACAATAGGTGGTGGAACGGATTCTCCCACCGGTGCCGAAGATGATTGAGGTTGTGAACCTGCCATATGGACCCTTCCGATGATACGGCCGGATCTAAGACGTATGAAATTATCGCCGGAATTGGAATGAGCAATTTTGTCTTGCTCCCACTGTGGTCGCCAATTTGTTGATGTAATTTTTCAACAAAAATAAAGTAAAATTCAAAGATATAGAAAATATCCTTAAACTTGATTAATTAGTGCCTGAGATTAGGAATCTCTAAACACTGTACGGTACAGAAAATAAACTGGAAAATAAAAGACTGAAATTTAAAGTGGTGATCCCCAAATCTGACTTTGCTTTGTTGAAGTTGATTGAAGATGCCTTGCCAAATGATTATCCAAGCCTTTAAATATTCTCTGGGAAACCGTACTGAAAACCGTCGCCCGAACGGTTACAACGTCTCCTTCCCAACCGTCTTCCAACCCTTTTCATGCTGACACGTGTCCTCAGCAGACCAAAATTATCCTTATATTTCACTCTTTGAGCCGACCACAGACCTTCCGCTCTTTTGGCCCGACTTCGTCCTTCGCCCGACCTGCTTCTTCGCCCGACCTCACTTGGGCCGACCTCCGCATCAGCCGCCCTCCGTCTTCGACCGAAGACCTCCGCATCTGTCCGTACCTCTTCCTTTTCCCGACCTGAAAGCCTCCCGACCTGCGGACTTCCCGTCCTGATGACTTTCCGTCTTGAGGACCTACCGACCTGAAGACCTTCCGTCCTGATGACTTTCCGTCTTGAGGACCTCCCGACCTGAAGACCTTCCGACCTGAGGTCTTTCCGTCTTGAGGACCTACCGACCTGAAGACCTTCCGTCCTGATGACTTTCCGTCTTGAGGACCTTCCGACCTGAAAACCTTCCGACCTGAGGTCTTTCCGTCTTGAGGACCTCCCGACCTGAAGACCTTCCGACCTGAGGTCTTTCCGTCTTGAGGACCTTCCGTCTTGAGGACCTTCCGTCTTAAGGACCTTCCGTCTTGAGGACCTACCGACCTGAGGACCTTCCGTCTTGTATTTTCCTTAGAAATAAATCTATTTTCCTTGATTTCCTCACGGTGTCCTTCAGCCAGTTCAATCAACCCTATTGCTAGGCCCATTCTTCTTTTTACCTTGGGCTTTTAACCTAATTCTAAATTTCGTACGTAACAGAATCAAACATCAGTTTTAGACAAAAAGAGTGTTTCATGTCAATTTTTCATTGACACAAGAGAGTTTCATGCGATAAATAAAACACAGAAGCATTTTTAGTAAACCACAATGATGTGTTATATAATTTACCCGAAATTGAATAGATATGGTAAAATAGATAATTTAAATTAGGTCGGGAGTAAATTAATTACATTTACTATGGAGAGAGCACTTAGCTTTTGCTCTTTCCAACACAGAAATACACAGAGAGAGATATTGAACTGAGAGCAGCAGTACCCAGAGCAGACAGTGTCACGTGCACTCCACGCGGACAACATTACCCATAATCACCCCCAACACAACATTAATTACCATATCAATACAACATACGTACGTACATACCTATAATTAATTAATTAATTATTAATTAATTACATTTAACACTTTTAAAAAGACGATAATTCAAATCAAACCCCCCAACGTAATCAACTGATCATACAATAAACAAACAATATTTATATATTAATTAATAATAATAATAAAATAATCAACAAGTCTGCAACGGCATTCCGCAGAGGCAATCGTTGTCGGCGAACGACGAAGCTTCTAGATGATCGAACGGCGATCCCGACGGAATCGCGCCGCAAAGATGATTATGGCTCAGATCTAAATGCCCTATGAACTTAGCCGCCGCCAACGTCGTCGGAATCGAACCCCGTAGGTTATTATACGACAAATCGATCGCCGTAAAATACGTTTTAGGGCTAAATACGTCCGGCAGCTTCCCCTCCAAACCGTTCCGGCTCAGGTTCAAAATGTTCAAACCGGAGTTAGAAAGTAGGGTTTCGGGTATGGACCCGGTCAGCCGGTTGCTGTCTAGGTTCAGAGTTGATAAAACCGGCATTGACCCGATCTGAACCGGGATCGACCCGGTCAGACGGTTCTGCGACAGGTCCAGGTCGGCCAGCCGGTATATATTTGCGAAAGAGGTTGGGATCGGGCCGGTCAGCTCGTTCCGGTTCAGCAATGCTCGGCTCATCATCGACAGTTTTCCGATGTCGGTCGGGGTTTCTCCGGCGAGGCGGTTGTTGCTGAGATCTAAATGCATTAGGCTGTTGAGTTTCGCCAGCGACGGCGGGAGGCTGCCGGAGATTTGATTGTCGGCCAGGTTGAGGACGGTGAGCCGGTTCAGGTTGCCAATGTCGACCGGGATTGGGCCGGAGATTTTGTTGCCGATGAGGTCGAGGATTCTGAGGTGGGGTAGGGAGGTGAGGCACGTCGGAATGTCGCCGGAGATGGCTTTCCAGTCGGCGACGACGAGGGTGGTGAGGCGGTCGAGTTTGCAGAGGGAGGGGGAGAGCGAACCGGTCATGTAACCGGACCGGCCGGCTTTCTCGAAAATCGGATCCTCCGATTCTCCCCGGAGGATTATGTCGGCGACCCGTTTGCTATCCGGGTCGCAGCTGACGCCGTACCAGTTAGCGCAGCAGTCGCTGCCCGTCCACGAGTTGAAAATGCCCAAGTAGGGCTCGGTCACGGCGGCCTTGAACGCCAGCAAAGCTTCCCGGTCTGACGGCGGGCAGGCATTGACGGCTACCGTTACGGCGAGCAGGACCGTTGCTGTAATAACCAGCTGGGTTTCGGCAAACTCCATTCTGAATAATGTATGGGAGAGTAGCGATGCGATGAGATATATAAATAAAAGAATTTTTTGCAGATATGTGGAATGACGAAAATGCCCCTGGGAGGATGGCGACAGTTGAGTGGGACGCCAACAAAGGGGTAGTTTTGTTATAAATAAGGCTGGAGTGAGGCACGTGACGCCACAGCTGTTATTTAATTTTATTTATTTATTAAACCCAGTAAAATATAATATCGTCGAAGAGTGAATTATTTATGAGTAAAAAGACAGAATATTTTCAACGTCAAAATTTCATTCTCTCACTTTATTTTATTTTTATAAAATTAAATTGATATAAATTTCATCCTATCAACTTTGAATACATTTGTTTAATATTAATTCAAAACCACAATTATTTAAAAGTGTCAAAAATTTTAATTTATAATCTCCATATTACAATTTCATCTTTCACACTATTAAAATTTTTTTTAGGAGACAATTATTTATATACTCTAGGTTTGAAGGAATATTAATATTATAAATATATATAGTATAATAGAAGAATGAAAAACTAATTATACTCTTAGGAAAAAAATAATAATTTGATTAAACAATAATAATAATATTTTGTAATAATATATAAATTATAAAAAAACTAGATGGGAAGTCCAATTACTAAAAAAAATTGATATATTGATTTCAGATGGGTCTAAATGAAAAAACAAAAAAAAATAAAAACATTAATTCAAAACAAAAAATATTACTCCCCTTCTATAATACTCCCTTCGTTTCGGTTAAGATGACAAGGTATTTTAGGTAGTATTTTAGGTAGTGTAGATTATTAAGTTATTAATAATAAATTATAATATTATTTTATTATTTTTACATAAGTAGTATTGTTGACAATTATTTATTTATTAAAGAGAGATAGAAATAAAAGAGTTTTAAGTGGTCCTATGTGTAAAAAATTAAAAATTTAATTAAATTGATTTATATTTGTAAAATATATTTAAAATGAATAAATTTATTAAAAGTAAAAAAGAATAGGACGGACAAAAAAAAATAAAAAAAAAATCATCTGTCACCGGGATGAAGGGAGTACTTTAGAATTGGACCGGTACTACACTACACTAATTTAGGATGAAAGGGACTCGTAATTAAAATAATAAATTTTATTAATTTGATCATATATTAATAAAATATATGCCCTATGAATATTATATTAGAGAGAGTAAAATTTTAAATAATATAAAAAATAAAAAAAAATACTTATATATTTATGATTAAAATAAACTAATTTATAAAATAAAACTTAAATATAAAAAAATATTTAGTTATTGAAAAGGGTGATAAAAATAAATACATTTTTTACTAAACCATGTTATATTTTATGAAGTTCACAACGAAAATACCAATTTCATCCAATGACAAGAAGATAAACATCAGGCCGATGAAACTCAACAAAGTTGATGTCCTTAGCGCGGCTCTCAGTCCCTCTAAAACCTGATGGTTGACTATAAAATCAGCCACATTATCCGAAACGTTAGAACAACATAAAATCAGAATCGAGCAAGCGAACATACCTTAACAAACAAGAATCGAGCTTTACGAAGATCGACAACAGCTGAACTTGCTGTTAGCCGGAGACAACAGTTCCTGAGAAGGAACGACGATGTCAGTTCCTTTCAGAAGCGATTCTTTCCCACCGGATTCAGCTTCGTTTGCAACAAGGGCCTTCTTGCTTACAACCCGATAAATTTCAGTCAGGACATTAAGGAAAGCCGGCTCGACATTGGTTGCCTCGAGGGCCGAGGTTTCCATGAAGAAAAGATTCTCCTGTTGGGCGAACTCTTTGCCGTCTTCAGTGGGCACGTCCCGGAGAGTTCCCAGGTCGGATTTGTTGCCCACGAGCATGATGGCGATGTTCTTGTCTGCATGGCTCCGGAGTTCCTCCAGCCACCTAGCTACATGATCGAACGATTGGCGTTTAGTGATATCGTATACTAGCATTGCCCCGACTGCTCCTCGGTAATATGCGCTGGTCACTGCTCGGTATCTGTGTTGCATGAAAAATAGATTTAGTTAAATCGATTATTCGATACAAATCTGGTGCCAAAATTTACTTGGACTAGGACTATGCTTTTAATTATATAAGTTTCTTCTTGTCAATTGCATTTTAATTTTTTCTTTTTGTTATTTTCTAGAATTTAGTTAGATTAATTCGAACCCCCTTCGTTAATTCAATGATTATAAAAAGACTCAAAACATTTGACCATACAAGTAGAAAGCAAATGTGTTGGAGGGTTAAAATGTAACTATTTGGATTATAAGCCAGATTAAGCTTATATCAAGTGATCTATCAATTTATTGAACTTAAATCATTTAGTAAGTGTGAGCATGTGCAGAAACTCAATAACTTATTAATTGGTGATAAGCCAATTAATAATAATAGATATTTATTAAGATTGGATCCGTAGCATCCATTGATTTTCATATCTTATCGTGAAAATAAACGGCATAAACATTAATGGTTTTTTCTGGAAGTTCTGTGTTTGAAAAACACAAAATCACCCGAATATTTATTTGCTTTATTATTTTTACCTCAGTTATTTGAACGTGACAGATCTTGGTTAAGATTTAATATCTGAAAAGTTTCAACAAAAATGATCACAGGTTGCCAAAAGGCATGTGCTTTATTTCGTAGGAAGCACAGTAGTAACTATGTAGGATTACTTATTACTCGAATTATATAATAAATTCTCACCGATTTAACTAAAACAAGAAAAAAAGGAATGCTTCAACATAAATCTATGTAGACGAAAACATTAAAATAGCCATTTATTGATATGCAAAGGAGGCAAATTCTCATTCTAGGGGAAAGAGTATCCCATCCCTTCTAGATCGTCCCAAAAAACTACTCCCAAGAGTATACTATATTGATATTTTAAATTTTTAGCTATGAGAACAGCACATACCACCGGAATGGACTTAAGCAAATATTATTCCAGAAAATCATCAATGGTTTCTTATTACTCACATGAGCTTTCTTAATGAGATCTCTGATCACATAAGTTCGGCTATGTTGATTATCAAGTGACAGTTAGTCTCATTCCTCTCGGTGTCAAATATTAGCAGTTTGCCTAATAGCTTACTCAGAAGATCGACCAAATTCACTTTAGACCTCGAATAAAAGATGGAAATTGCTCTACCTTTGAGCAATTGGTTTATCACATTGTGTCATAAATGTTTATGTCTACGTTTCTCATTATATGGTTTATGTTATGTGGTAGCTATTTTCAATTAACAATAACAAGGTATCACCGATAGAGAATGTGAGTCCGGGATCCAAAGGAATTTCGAAAAAAAGTGTCTCAACCACTCCATTTAACTGCTACCAGCGTTAATGCAATGAACTTAGATTCCGTTGGTCAACTTCCAAGCAACCACAACTCCTAATAAGAATACAAAACCACTAGTGGATATTTCTCACCAAAAATCAGAGATCGAATTAGCATCACTACAACCCTCAGGCACAGCAGAAACTCTAATATATTGGATACCATAACTTATTGTGACACCCCTCAAGTACCTCATTATTCTCTTTAAGGCAATCCAGTGATTATTGTTTGGATTCTGTGTACATATTTGCTGCACTTGCTAATATAGATCCCTAATCAAATGACACTGGTGGGATAGAACGGATAGGATCAACATGTAATGCAAAAAGTGTTTTACATTATTGGAAAAATTAGCATATCGAACATGAGAAAACAAATGGATTAGAATTCCAGTGACAAGGTTGAGACATGCATACCGGGCTAAAGAACCTTCCTAGGAATATCCTTGAGTTTTCTAGGATAAAGCTCTCTTCCTTCAGATTGATGGGAACACGTGACTAACAGCTATAAAGAGCAAAAGAGTAATCACAGGAGAAGCTGCAAGTAGAAAAGCTTTATGCTTTTTCTCAGTGAGATTTAAATTTTTTAGGGATTGGGGAGCCATTTATAGGTGGATCTTGGCATAATGGGCAAGAAATTGAAGTAGCAACAGAGACCAACTTGCCGGAGAAGACAATGACATAACCATATAGTAATCAATTAGATTTAATCGAAACATATGGCAAATCAAAATTAGCAAACATCGCTTCACCAGCAGCTCTCATTTAGTTATCAGATTTCCAAGTATAGCACTATCTAGTTAATTAAATCTACGTTTCAACGGTTCATATGCAGAAACTAAAAGCAAAAACCTAAAAGCAAGTGCACAGCTCATATTACTCACATCTCCAAATTAAATGGATAGTCAAAATTCGAGAAAATCACGCGCAGAGAAATCCGAAATGCAGTCCAATAATCCAGAAGCAAAATAGTAAAGATGAGAAGAAGAAGAAGAACCTTTCCTGGCCAGCAGTATCCCAAATCTGCGCCTTGATAGTCTTATGATCGATCGTAACCGTCCGCGTCTGAAACTCCACCCCAATAGTTGCTTTAGAATCCAAACTAAACTCGTTCCTCGCGAATCGCGACAGGAGCTGCGATTTCCCCACCGAAGAATCACCAATCAACACGATTTTAAACACGTAATCGATTTTGTTGTTGAAATCGCCTCCGTACAAATTCGACATCCCTCGCGAGCTCCTCAACCGATCCGATCAAACGAGGAAGAAGATTGGTGGATAATACTGCTCCTTAGTGGATTGGAGTAGAGATTACATGCACGGCTGCTGCTGCTGCTGCTATGGAGTTGATCATTCGATATACGTTGAGAGGAGAAAGAAAGGGGAAAAACGGCGACGACATCGGCAGGAAAAGGAAAAGGCTGACTATTTGAAATACATACTTTTGACTGACACCGTGGCTTGTGCTTGCTTTAATAATTGAATTAATACCATAATAATTCTTTACATTACTATCACAATTCAGGAATATTGACGGTTAAGATAGTAATACGTTACGTAATAAAAATAAAATTTAATAAATTAATAATAATAAATTACGATACTATTTTTAATTTTTTGATATATAGTTGTATTGTTACTATTTTTAAAAATAAGAATATAGATAATCAATTTTTAAAATATATTTTTAAATATTATATTTTAATACAAATATATAATATAAGTAATTTTATAAAAGATATATAATACAAATGGAACTTTATTTTTCGTATATTTATGTTTAAATATTAATTATTATAGTATAAATTAAAAATATATATATTTTTATTAATATATTGTAATATTGATATAAATATTTGTAAAAACAATTATAAAAATATAAAAATATTTTTAATTTTAAAAATAAATGACTTCTAATTCAAATGGGAAGATTAATGGTCGGCGAAAGTAGTACTAAGGGTGTGGTTGTTTGGAGGATTGGACATTATTCATTTAACTCTTTTTTTAAAAAAATATTAAATTAAACACTTATTTTACATTTTTAATATTATACTAAAAATTAATTTTACATTAAAAAATATTACATCATACAACTATTCAAATTCAAAATTTTTACTATTCAAATTCCAACTCAAAATCTAAACCTCCAAACAAACGCACTAAATATATCAGTTGTATATAAATTTTTAATCATAATATAGAAAATAAAATATTACTTAATTACTAATTTTGGCAAAATCAACAACTTTACATTTAATTATTATTCTTATTCAATATTTATTTATAATAAATATCACTATTTTCTATTGCATTATCTATTTTATCACTTTTTAATAAAATATATATATATATTTTAATATCAATATCGAACACTCCAAATTTTAAATTTCTACTATTTAGGGTTTGTGTATATAAAAAAATATACACCTTTTTTGTTTAACAAAATATGACATGATACATTATTTTAATACCAAATTCAAAACAATATGTTTCTTTAGCCGAGTTTTCTCAAATTTTATTATTTAGATTCTGAATTTTTCAAAAAAACATACATTTTTTTTTCTTACAAAATATCTCACCACATATTTTTTTCATACTAAATTCAAACCATTTTTTTTTTCAAACTTCACAGAAAAACACACCCGTAATTTTACCGCGGAGGAAAGAATATATTTTAAAATTAATTTGCTATGCGCGGTAAAATTTTTAGAAAGGAGGAGAAGATTGAAATTTGAAAATATCATTCCCATCAGGCAAATCTACTATTTGGAAGCAAACAGCCACGTGGCATATTTCTATTTGCTTAGAAGATCATCCGCGGATTTGTCTTTCTTCGAATCTCCACCGTTGGATTTTTGAGCAATCAACGGTCCACACTTACCCTACTGTCCACGCAAATTCACTTTGAAACCCTTTTCAATTCCCGCCTTTGTACTCCTCCCTTATATTAATCCCATTCCCATTACAACTTCTTCGTCAAATCTTTTTCCCTTCATTTTGCTTTCGATTTTCATCTGTAGGTTTTCGATTCGCTCCAAATGGCTCGTACTAAGCAAACTGCTCGCAAATCTACCGGCGGGAAGGCTCCGAGGAAGCAGCTCGCCACCAAGGCCGCCAGGAAGTCCGCTCCGGCCACCGGCGGAGTTAAGAAGCCCCACCGTTTCCGCCCTGGAACCGTCGCGCTTCGTGAGATCCGAAAGTACCAGAAATCCACCGAGCTTTTGATCCGCAAGCTACCGTTTCAGAGGCTGGTTCGAGAAATCGCGCAGGATTTTAAAACCGATCTGAGGTTTCAGAGCTCCGCCGTGTCGGCGCTCCAGGAGGCGGCGGAGGCGTATTTGGTTGGTCTGTTTGAGGATACTAACCTCTGTGCTATTCACGCTAAGAGAGTTACCATTATGCCGAAGGATATGCAGCTTGCAAGGAGAATTAGGGGCGAGAGAGCGTAGATGCTCTCATTTGGTTTAAATTCTAAGTTAGATCCGATGTAAAACTTCCTCTGATCTTATGAAATTTTCAATTTGAGTTGGAAACTCTTCTTTGCGTGGTTTAAATTCGTTTAATCGAAGCTTGTTAATGATGAAATCACTATGCTAAATCAACATTGAAGGAACAGAAAGTATGGTAAATCGTATAACAGGAATAGATCAATGAAAGTGTAAATTAGGTTACAATCTAGGCTTTAAAGTTGTTGTTGCTCAAATCGAGTGTTCCAATGAAGTTAACCGATTCTATAGATTTTGGAACTTCACCTGTTAAGTTGTTGTAGGATAAATCGAGGACAGTGAAGTAGCATTCTGGAGAAAAGCTGTTGGGGAGCCTTCCTTGCAGATTGTTCCTGCTGACATTCAAATGGATCAAGCCTCTGTTGCTGAACAAATCGTGTGGAATCTCGCCGGAAAGTTGATTGGAGTGAAGATTCAGCGTTGATAAAACTGGCATCGATCCTAATCTGGCAGGAATCGCACCGGAAATTTGATTGTTGGACAGATCTAGGTCGGCTGTTCTGGAAAGAGTGACAATCGATGAAGGTATCTCGCCGCCGATTTGATTATCACTAAGTATTGCTCTGCTCAGCATCTTTAATTTTCCGATATCGAACGGAATTTCGCCGGCGATTTCGTTGCGGCTGAGGTCAAGGAGTTTGAGCTTACGGAGGTTCACGATGGAAGGAGGTATGGCGCCGGAGAGTTCGTTATTCGAGAGATCCAACAGTATGAGTTGCTCTAGCTTCCCAATGTCCGCCGGAATACCGCCGGAGATTCTGTTACCGGAGAGGTCGAGGATTCTGAGGCGGGAGAGGGAAGTGAGGCACGCCGGAAGTTCGCCGGAGATGGAGTTCCAGTCGGTGATGATAAGAGTTGTGAGGCGATCGAGGTGGCAAATGGAGGTGGAGATGAGCTCCGTCCAGTCGCTGGTCCAGGCGAGGTTCTGGCCGGAGTCCGACGAATCTCCGGCGCGGAGGACGATTTCGGTGATGCGTTTGGTGTCTGGATGGCACACGATTCCCGGCCAGGTCCAGAACTGATCGCCGGTCCAGGCGGCGGAGATTCCGTCTCGGAGCGCGGTCGCCGCGTCGAAATCAGTCCACCGGTCGCCGTTGACGGCGGCGATGAGATGCAGAACGCCGGCGAGTATCAAAGCCACTTTGCACTTGGATTCCATGGCGGAGTATATGTGGAGTAGGCGTAGTTTAGTGTTTGGGATCTGGCAGGCGGCGTTTAATAGTAATGGAGCTTCGGAAGGGAATCTGCTTTGTCTGCTGCAATCAATTAGAAAATGGTGGTCGGCGGGGGGTAATAGGGAGGAGGAGCTTACAGGCTACAGCACGTGGAGTGACCCGACCGACCCGACTCGAAGAAATGCAGGTTCGGGTTTTTTGGCCTTCTCTATTTATCTAATTAATTATTAATTCCTTGTTCTCTTATAAGTTATAGATTAGATTAGTTTTTCATCCAGCTCTTTGGATAAATTTATCTAAAGAACTTAATACTTTAATACTTGAAAACTAGGCCGAACGAGCCAAATTAGATCAGGTGAATCATGCTTGACATGTGGACCTGAAAGACCCTCCTTTATGGTACTATAAGTATTAGATTTTTTTTTTTTATTATTATTTTTTTATTTTTGATGACATGGGAACTATAAACTTTTAATTGAACTTAATACCTTATAAATTAAGCCCGACAAAATAAGTTACAATAGCTAACCATATTATTAGAGGATTAGATTATTGGATTCATAATAGATGGAATATAATTAAGATGGTAGCGGGTAGTGCTAGGTCGGGCTGCTGCAATTAATAATTGGAATCACATGACATGTTGAGGGTGGGATGCCTAATGTTGTGTTCTTGACACGTATAGTGTCAAAGACTCCATTAATCACTTGCATGTGAACAGATTCGGAGCAAACACAAGCACCAGATTATCGATGGCTCCCTTCTCAAGAATTTTTTTTTTTCCTCGTCATCTTTGAACTCTATTGTCTTCCTTTTTTTAAAAAAAATTATTATTGTAATTCTAGATCGGCTCTTTCCATTTATTTAATTTTATTTTTATTATTTTGATATTAACAATACAATCAATTCACAAATACAAATAAACACACCTTCTATACATAGAAATATTTTTTATATGATGTATAAAAAATTGTTCAAATGATCTAAAAATAATGAATGTAAAATATTAATTTTTTTAAAAAGAGATATGTTGAAAAAAAACTAAATTTTAAATAAATAGTTTGTTTTTAAAAAAAAATTGAAATATATTTTCTCAAAAAAATAAATATACTATAAGTACTTATTATTTTTATATTATTTATACAATTATATTAAAAAAACACACCCGTAATTTAAATACCTTTTGCATTTAAATTTTTTTAACTCACATGAATTTTAAACAACTTAATCTGAATTATTTTGTATTAGTTTTTTCTTTTATATTAAAAGAAATTTATTGCTTAATTGAAACAAATATCTGAAATGATAAATACTCAACGTTACAAAATAATTGACAAGCTCTACGAATCAGTTAAAAAAAAATATTTTAATTTAAAATGTTACATTACTTATTTTTTATATAAAATATCACATCAAATTCTGAGGGGTCTGTTTTTCTAATTCAATTTTAAGTAATCCATTGTGTTTCTAGTTCAATTTTGAGTTGGATTACTGTGCTTAAACAGTATTTCCAGCTCAAAAACTAGTCTAGAGGAGTTTTGGGACAGACGCTAAATATATATATATATATATTCATAATAATTATAATTTAATAAAATATATACTATATATATATTATTTTCATAGAGAATAATATATAATACAAATAAATATATATATAGGTATAATATAAATTTATAATTAAATTATACAAATTAATATACATTTATATTCATTATCATCGAATCAATACACATCAAAACTCTCCAAACCCAACTCAAACCTAAACAAAAGAAACACATAAATTCAAATTCACTTCAAAATCCAAATAAAAACCAAATCCAAATCCAAACCCAAATTTGCAATGTTCATTGTTCACAGCAAAAATAAACATGTATTCAATTTCCAGCTGACCATAAATAAATATTTCATAAAATAAAAGAAAATTTTCACTACACTTTTTCGATGAAACACAGCTTTAGCTTTACTTACTAGTTTAGGCTTTGTTAACACGAACTTTCTGCCCTTCAAGCACCTGCAAAACCAAATTCATTAAAACAAATCTACATACAAAACCATTCATCAAATTCAGTATAGGAAATAATAACATAAATGAAATTGTAGAAAAACAAAATAAAACTATGGAGAAAGAAGAATGAAAATTGATTATTTTGTTCCGTAAAATATATTTACCCGTCCCAATTCAATGTTTTCTTTTATCATTTTCGTCCGTCTTATTCAAAAGTAATTATTTTCAATTATAATAAAAGTAATAAAAATCTAAATACCACAATATCCCAACTTCTACAAAAATATTAAAAAATATCAATAAAATACTACTCCTTCCGTCAGTCTCTAATGATCACATTCACCTTATGCGTCAACATTAAAAATATCCTTATATTTATATAATATTTTGTACAAATTTTATTCTATTAGTATTATAAAACATTAGTGGAAGAATTTTTGTAATTTTTTATTAATTCGTACTACATTTTGATATAATAATTGATATTTAAATATCAACACGCAAAAAGTAAATGAGACCTTTAGAGCCGGACGAAAGTAGTATTATTTATTAATCTACTATTAAAAAAAAAGTTACATTGAGTTAAAAGACAAAAAGAGTATAATCCAATTGAGAAAAATGTAAAGAAAATAAATTATCATTTAATTCAATAAATATATATCTATATATATATGTAAATGTGCATAAGTTAATAATCTAAAAATAGATTAATCAATAAATACTAACTTTATTTTTATTTTCTACTCCCATAAAGTCATTTTTCTCTATTTCTACATGTATAAGAGAGAACTGAAAATTGAGAAAAAGAAATAATTTATTTCCTTTTCCCAACCTTCATTCCTCTCTACCAAATTACCAAAACTTCTAATGCTAAAATTTTCAAATGACAATGTAAAAATAAAATCACAATTATTCAAATGGATGAAGAACTTACTGCATTATTAAGCGATGATATTGCCGCTTCGACATCATCTTCCGAAGAGAATGTGACAAATCCGTATCCACTGGACTTTGAGGTTCCCGGAACACGGGATACCTTTGCACTTAGAACTTTACCCTTTTCTGAAAAGAAACTTTTGAGGGTGTCTGTTGTTACAGTTTTCGCAAGATTTCCTACGTATACTTTATAAGGACTGTCGATGAACGCAGATTCTTCAGATTGAAGAAGTGCCGTATCCGTAGTTGCCAATGGCTTTTCTGTTATATTTACTTTTACTTGACGCCCGCCGATTTCCTGCAATGAAATGAATGTCAAATACGTCGAAAATTAACTGGTCATATAATCAGTTTAGATATTTGCATGTTATTTAACAGGTTAGAGTGTTCATCAATGGCTAACCGTGCCATTTAGCTTTTCAGCTGCCGTATTTGCATCCTCGACAGTTTTCATTGTTACAAATGCAAATCGCCGGCTCCTTCCGGAGTATTTATCGTACATCACCTATTAAGGGGATAGAGTATGCAGTTATATAAGGATTATTGATATGTTTTTAAACCGTAGAGATTAAACAAAGATCAAACAAGAAATATAAGATTTAAATAATGCACATCATATATTCATCAGTAAAAATAAGAAAAATATAGGGTGTGTTTGCACACCAAAATTTATCAACTCGATTCTTGATAAATATTAAATAATGATACAATATATAGACACAATAAAATAAAAAATTAAAATCAACAATTTCATGTGAAATATATTTTTTATATTTTTGACATGCTTTTCCATAATATGTTCACTTAACAAAAATGTTTGATACGTTTTATTACAAAAAAAAATACAATATATACCAATACACATATAATATATAATTTATCCATTCACAAAAAGTCAATAATTTATAATTCAATACAAAATATTATTTTTTATTGTTTGGGGGATTGGATTTTAAATCCACTATTCATTCAATTTTTTCCCCCAAAAAACATCGAATCAAACACCTATTTTTCGTTTTTTATATTATGCTAAAAATCAATTTTACATTCAAAACATCACATTAACACCTATTTATATCACATCATACAACTATTCAAATTCAAAATTTTTACTATTCAAATCCCAACTCAAAATCCAAACCCCCAAACAAACACACCCTAAAAACACTTATATCCAAAAGCACAGAATGAACACACTCTTATGCTGTTCGGCTCAGACCCAAATCGAACAAACTTACACTGTGAGGAAAGAAAAACAGTTAAACCAAAACCAAAACACATCCAAATGGCCCCCAAAACCACAGGATTCAACCCAATCGAAACGTTCCTCACACAAACTCGCAAATCCTGGTTTGCAATCATTCAAATAGACATCGACCGAAGAAAGAACCCTCAAAACCTCATAATCGAGGAAAGCCTCAACAAACATGGCATTAAAGCAACAAGAACACTGTTAAACTCTCTGATATTGTGTTGAGGCTCCGTGGGCTAATGGATAAAGCATAAAATTATAATATGCCTAAGCTCAACAAAATCGAATCAAAGACTTAACTAATGAATCTAAGTAACCATAGGAAATCAAAGTCCTGCAGAAAATCAAGCCAAATGAAAGGAATACAAACATAACAAGAAGCAGGTAATACTCTAAAATTAATAAGAACACGATCATCTTGTGATTATAAATCAATATGATGAATTCCAAGCATCACTGAAAGAGGATTCCTGTGTAGCGTTTTCTTTCACCTTCTTAAGAACTACAAATTTCGATTTGATAAGGTAAATTCAACTCAGAATCAGAAATATTCGTTAGGCAAAGAAACTAACACGAAATCTACTGGAAGAAGCGTTTCGTATATAAATTCTATACATATAGCTTTACAAAACCAATTCAGCATTACTAATTCAAAACCTGGAAACCCTATCCACACCGAAGCTCAATCGAATCTCCACAACAGTAACGATAAGTAAAGAGTAATAATAAAATTAATAATACCTCAGCCTTCTCGACGGCGCCGTGCTCTTCCACGATTTTATGGAGCTCCTCATTCTTGACCGTTCGCGGAATGTTGCCGACATACAAGCGCCTGGCGGAAACGGACGAAGGGTCCGCTGTAGCAACGGAAGTGTCCTCGGCAACTAGGTTGAAGAATCTCCTGCGACTGCGAGTAAACTTGGACGGAGTAATTTGTGGAGTAAGGGGAGTGAAATGGAGCTTGTGAAGACGGATTTGGAAGGGATTTGGAGCGTTTCGAGGGAAATTTGGGGAGAGGAGTGACGATAGTGATGAAGAAAATGTGGCCATTTCTGTAAGGAAGGAGAAGAGGGATAAGCCTAAGCCTAAGAATGATGACAGTTACATTTATTTGAGAATGTCTTGTGTTTTTTCTACCGCACCTATGAATTACTCTCCAAATAATTAAAAAATTGATTTATTAAAATTAATTATAATATAATAAAAATAATTATAAATTAAATTAAAATAATTAAATAATTTTTAATTTAAATTTAAAAATATTATAAATTTAAGAAGCAATTAAAATATATAATTATATTTAAAAAAATAAATTATATGAAATGAATGAAAACGGAAAAAATAAATATTTTATATAGACCGAAGAGAGTACTTTATTGTAAAAAATAGATAAAAAATATACAGTATATAATATGAAATTAAATAAAAAAAATTTTAAAAAATAAAAAAATAATGATAAATTTAATTATTACTTATTAAAATAATTAAATTATGAATAAATAAGATAATTCCTCTGTCCGATAAAATTATATTTATTTTTGTGAATATTAATTATTATATTAAAATATAATACAAATTAAGAGAAAATAACAAAAATAAGTATATTAGTGTCACATTTAGATTAAAAAAATACAAATATAAAGATATTTATAATGTTAAGTAAAAATAAATATAAACTAATTAAATAAAGTATTATAATAAAGTCTAATTATATTTATTTTTTTAAAAAAAAAATTACACAATATATATCTAAAATAAAAAGAGAAATGGGGACGACTATGTCCAATACCTTTGAAATTGGATTTGAATTTTAAATTGAAATTTTCACTATAAAAATTTTCTATTTGAATACTTATCCTTACAAAAATATAAAATTTAGTTATTATTTTATGGCTGAGGAAGCATAATGCAATATAAATATAAAAATATTTTAAATTATAAAATTAATTTTTATTAATAATATAAAAAAATAATTATTTAATTTGATTAAGAAATAAAAATAAAAGAGCACACCTTAAAATCACATCAACCCAGATTGAAAAAAATCGGCCCAAATTTGCCATTTCTATATATATATATATATATATATATTTGTTTTCCTTTAATATTTTAACCGATAATTTATTTTTAATTCCAAAATTTTAAAACAAACAAAATTAAATTAAAAAAAAAAAACCAAAATAAGAAATAAATAAATAAAACGAAATTTTAAATATAAATTTGTAAACACAAACACAAAAAAGAGCAGTCCGCACACAGAGAGAGACGAGACAGTACCAGAACCAACGTACACTCCGCCGCACTCGCCATGATCGCCACTGCAACCTCCTCCTCCCTGCTGCACAAACCACTCTGAACAATCGCCAGAACATGCGCTTCTCTCTCTACCAATCGCCATTGCAACCAGTTGGTAAGTAACTTCGCAATCAAAAAATTGGAGCAAGGAGTTAATATTCTCTCCATCGGTGATTTGCTTTGTTCGTAATCCAGATTTCACGAAGGAAAAGTTCTGTACAAAATCAAATCCGTGAGGTACGTATGTGATCTTTGTGTTTTTCTGTTGTTGTTTCGATTTCAGTATCGGCTATTCACATCTCTGCATTTCGGAATGCGTTTAATCTAGAGGATTCGTATATGTTCATGCTGTTTAATGCAAACGAAGGATTGCAAATATTTTTAGGTTTTGTTTTTTGAAATTAAGGCGCTGTTCCGTTACCATGATTTTAGGAAGAAATCAATGTTTCTGTAACCGCTCTGTTAGGCGCCTTCAAATTTTTTTGAAAACCTACGGTATTTTGAAATCGATTGTTCAATCTCTGAAAATTTCTGCAGTTTGTTCTATCGTGTTGGAAAATGGCGAACCAAAGCAAGAAACAAAACCAGAACCAGAATCAGAATCAAAATCAGAATCAAAATCAAAATCAAAACCAAAACCAAAACCAAAACCAAAATCACTGCCATAATCAGAATTCCAACAAGAACACGGACGAAGATTTCAACCTTAGGGAGACAACGCCAAGCCTGGGAAGCGGGAGAATCGCCAGAAATGATCGTGCCGGCACCGCCTTCGATTTGGTGGAGCAGATGGATTATCTCTACATCAAAGTGGTAAAAGCCAGGGAGTTGCAGGGAAACCCTAGCCCCTTCGTGGAACTGAAGCTTGGCGGCTTGATTTCCACCACCAGGCACATGGAAAACACCTCCATTCCGGAATGGAATCAAGTGTTCTCAATTCTGAAAGATCGCATCGAGGCCACACTAATTGAGATTTCAGTGAAGGATAAAGCTAAAGGCAATGATCTGATAGGAACTATCTCATTCGACGCCATTGATGTTCCAAGAAGAGTACCTCCAGACAGTCCATTAGCACCCGAGTGGCACAGGCTAGTGAACAAGAAACGAGAAAAGATAGCTATGGAGTTGATGCTCGCCATTTGGATGGGCACACAGGCTGATGAAGCATTCCCAGAAGCATGGGATCTTGATGCTACATCCGTTAATGGCGACGGCTTAGGCAGCATTCGATCGAAGGTGTACTTGTCGCCGAGGCTATGGTATTTAAGGGTAAACGTGATTGAGGCGCAAGAATTGCAGATCGGCGAGAAGAACAGACAGCAGCCGGAGATTTTCATAAGGGTCACCATTGGAAACATGATTCTCCAAACAAAGATCTCCCAAAGCAAAAATGTCAATCCATTGTGGAACGAGGATTTGATGTTTGCAGTAGCAGAGCCTTTCGACGAACATCTGGTTTTATCAGTCGAGGAAAGAACCGCGCCGTGCAAGGATGAAAATCTCGGCACGGTAACGATCCCATTGCAAGAAGTCGACAAGAGATTGGATTTCAGGCCTCCAGTTAGCAAATGGTATCATCTTGGAAAGCATTCGAATTCCGACAAAAATGCGAATGTATTGAAAAGCAGAGTTCACTTGAGGATTAGTTTAGACGGCGGATACCATGTTCTTGACGAGCTAACACATTACAGCAGTGATCTAAGAGCAACAGCCAGGCAGCTATGGAAGCCGCCAATCGGGGTGCTCGAATTAGGGATATTAAGCGCGCAAAACCTCACGCCGACGAAGACAGCAAACGGCAATGGCAAAGGATCGACAGACGCTTACTGTGTTGCGAAATACGGGCAGAAATGGATTCGGACAAGAACAATCTTAAACAGCGTGAATCCAAAGTGGAACGAGCAGTACACATGGGAAGTCTTCGATCCCTGCACCGTGATAACAATCTGCGTCTTCGACAACTCGAAGCTGCAAGCCCCGAATTCTAACAACAAAGATTCGAGAATTGGGAAGGTCAGAATCCGATTGTCGACACTCGAGACGGGTCGAGTCTACACGCATCTCTACCCGCTGATCGTCCTGACTCCGTCCGGCATAACAAAAACCGGCGAGATACAATTAGCCGTGAGATTCTCGTGCGCGTCGCTGCTCAACATGATGATGATGTACTCGCAGCCGCTCCTGCCAGATCTTCATTACCTCCATCCACTGAGCTGTCACCAGATCGAGATCCTACGGCATCAAGCGACGCAGATCATCTGCAAGAGGATGAGTCGAGCAGAGCCGCCGTTGAGGAGGGAAGTCGTCGAATACATACTCGACGTGGGATCGAACATGTGGAGCGTGAGAAGGAGCAAAGCGAATCATTACCGGATCGCGATAATCCTCTCGGCGTTAGTCAAGTTTGTCAAATGGTTTGATCAGATTCGTTCTTGGAAGAACCCGTTGGTCACGATCCTCGTCCACATCCTCTTCCTCGCGTTCGTGTGCTCCCCGTGGATGATATCAAGCACCGTGTTCCTCTGCCTGTTCTTGATTGGGGCGTGGAACTACCGCGGTCGACCCAGGCACCCGCCGTACATGGACGTTCGACTCTCGCAGGCTGACGCGGCGCACGGGCACGAGCTGGAGGAGGAGTTCGACACGTTCCCGACATCGCTGACGCAGGTCGACGCGATGAAAATGCGGTATGACCGATTGAGAGCGATCGCGTCGAGGGTTCAGACGGTGTTGGGAGACTTGGCGACGCAAGGGGAGCGATGCTATAATCTCGTGAGCTGGCGAGACCCGCGAGCGACGGCGCTGTTTCTGATGTTCTGCTTGATCGCGTCGGTGGTTTTGTACGTAACGCCGCCGAAAGCGGTGGCGGCTGTGATGGGATTTTACGGCATGAGACACCCGAGGTTTCGGGACCGGCTGCCGGGTTGTCCGACGAATTTCTTGAGGAGATTACCCGCCAAAACTGATGGATTGCTGTGAAAGATCACTACAAGGTAACAAAGAATCGATCTTTTACTTTATATATATATATATATATGATTTTAATGGCTAAGTAAATTATATTTATACTTGCTTGCTATATATATATTTGCTTGATTGTTACTGTTTTAGAGTTTTTGAATTTCTGGAATTCGACCGTTGGTTGAGTAACTGCTTTGGTGAAGGAATGATTTGCTATGATATGGTTTCTTGTTTTATATGGAGTATTTGGCTGAGTTTTGTTCTATCTTTGATTCATATATATTTGTGTTTGTTTGGGGGGTTTTGAGTTTTGTAGCCAAATTTGAATTGGAATAGTAGAATGTAATATTTTTTTAATATAAAATTAATTTTTAATATAATATGAAAATAAAAAATAAATATTTAATTTAATATTTTTGAATAAAAATATTTAATGAATAATAAAAATTACGAAAGATTGTGTGTGGGTTTAGGCAACATCATGACCATTTTTCGGCAATTGAAAATAGTCAAAATAAAATGTTTGTTGACTAAGGTAGGTTCAATTTTTATTGACCTACCTATCAAAATTTAAATAGCACCAATCTAAAAAAGCCCGATAAACACTTATTAAAAATCCAAAAAACATGTGCTATATTTAAAATGTACGCTATCTGAACCATTGTACAATGCCTCTTAGACTCTAAACCGATGTTTTTTGAATTCTGAAACGTTGTCGCACGAGAAATTTTTTTCCAAATCAACACCTTAAATCAGTGTATATATATATATATATGAAAAATTGCAAAAAATTTCACACTTATACCCTATAGTTACTTTTATCCTATATTTATCTCACTGGCAAAATATATTTTACATATTTACAAAAATTGTTATTTCTATCATTTGGCCACGCGTGATTGGATATAAGGGCGCGTGGTGTAATACAGACAAAAGTGATAACAGAGTATAAGCGTGGAATATTTTTTGCAAATTTCTATATATATATATATCCACAGACAAGCCTGATTGGTAACTAAGTGATCTATCACAGAAACAAAATATAAATCGATTTGAGATTCAAATGGCACACAAGTTCTCCTACTGCTTCATCATATATCATATCATACACACAAGTTCTCCTACTGCTTCATCATATATCATATCATATAATGTCTAAATAAACAAAATTCCCATAGCCTTAGAAAACCAAATAAATGTAGTCTCACATTCAGAAAATTGCCTAAACAAATTACCCACTTCTCTGCTCCACACTCATCTCTCATTCATTCAATAGAGAATTAGTTAAAATCATAATTATTCTACCATGAATTAACCAACATTATTCAAAATTAACTTATAAATATAGCCAATAGATATAAGATTATAATCTTTCACCTGTGTCAGCCACTCAGTCAATCAGTTAGTCCCTTTCCGACTCCATTCGTCTTTCCACTCGGGTCAGTCACCCTCCTCAACTGCAAAAATTCCTTCAAAATCCAAAAACACGGCCAGTGTTGTTGTTACGACGAGGATCCCTTCGCCTTTGTTTTTCGCTTCTTGCCGTCCAAAGAAGCCAAACCTAAACCCAACCCTGCTGGTGGTGTCTGATTTATATATTCCTTTTCCAGATCTTCGACTGCGTTTGTAGGAGCATAGCCGTTGGCAGATTCTTCGACCCCTTTATCAATAACCTCGTTGTTGTTTGCCGCATCTCCCGCACTCATTATGTTAATGAGCTGAGTGAGGGGAGGCGGTGATGGTACGGGAACACCTTGTGGCCGTATTGTCAGACCTTTTGCTGCGGCTTTCTTCCTCACTTCCGCAGCAGCACGAGCTGCTCTTTCATCAACACCTCGTCCGTGACTGCGAGGAAGTCCTTCGCCAAGAACAGCATTGTTCATTAGTTTGTTGGCCGAGCTGCCAGTGCCTCCGGACACAGCTGCGGCTTGAAATGCTTGTATCAGATCCGGATGAGCCTGCTCGAATACATTTGAGAATAGGGCTTCAATGTTATGAAAATATCTTATGAAAATTGGAAATTTGCGTTGTATCAATCTTTAAAATAAAGGGCCTATAATATAGACAACATAAAACGGAGTCGATAAACTTAAATCTAATATATATGGATTAGACCAAATCTAAATCTAGTAAGGGTGAGTTTAGATTTTGAGTTGGGATTTGAATAGTAAAGATTTTGAATTGGGATTTGAACAGTAAAGATTTTGAATTGAAATAGTTGTATGAAGTGATGATATAAATAGACGATGATGTGACGTGTAAAATATAAAATTAATTTTTAGTATAATATATAAAATAAATGTTTGATTTGATGTTTTTGGAAAAAATATTCTTGATGAATAGTAGATTGGGAGGAGAATCCTCCAAACAAAGTTTGGGGGATTTTACAAAAATCCACTATTCATCAAATTTTTTCCCCAAAAACGTCAAACTAAACACCTATTTTTCATTTTCTATATTATACTAAAAATCAATTTTACATTCAAAACATCACATGAACATCTATTTATATATCAAATCATACCCAACTCAAAATCCAAACCCCCCAAACAAACACACCCTAAATTTAAAACTGAATATCTAAAATATCTCAACAAATGTCTTCATTATAAACGCAACCCTGATCGGAGAATATGGCATGACAGATATGTTCATGTACCTTTAGTATATCGATGGCTTTCTGGGCTGAAACAGAATTCGGATTCTCACCTTTCTGCTTTTGTGCATTGGCCTTCCCATAAATTTAAGACAAGCAAAAATGGGTGTAACTGTAAGGACATTGGTCGAGAATCCAGAGTTGGGGATTCTATACGAGGAGAAAAATATTACCTGCAGCTCGCGCATCTTAAATGCTTTCATCCAATTCTGAGCCTCCTTTGTCCGAGCATCCTCTTCTCCGAGTTGTTTTACAAGAATATCATATGTTTTCTTTTCGTGCTGCCATGTCAAGAGAGAGTTTGGATGATGGTAGGAAAGTAAGGTGGTAAATGAATCAAATAATTTTGTTCAATTCGATATTCAATTCTAAATTTTGATATTCATATTCGAAATTTTATGATTCGAATATAAATCAAATACAAATATGAAACTTTAATATTCGATGCAATAATAAAAAAAAATATATAGATGGTATAAAATATAATATACATATATATGTTTTTTTCCAATAAAAATAAATCAAACTAAATTTATTTATAAGAATAATACTTTTAAATTCTAATTTATCTTTTTTTTTTGTGAATGTGAAAAAATAAAAAATAATAAACATATACATTTTTTTTAAGTTTTTTAATATTATTATAAAAAATTTTAATTTAAAGAAGCTCAAATCGGATCGGATAAACAAAAAACAAATCACATCTTGAATCAAATATTTTTTTAATATTGAAATTGAATACGACTATCATTTTAAGATTCGAAACAAATCGAGTATCAAATCAAATAGTAGAATATTTTTTTCGAATCGAATCGAATACTACAGTATTGGATTTGATTCGATTCATTTACAACCCTAATGGGAAGGTTATTGAGATGGAAGAAAACATCGGGACAGGAAATCTACCTGATAAGAAAGTTTGAATGCACCCATACTGTTGAACACGATGGCTAATGCATGATAGCACACGGCAGTTTGAATGTGATCTTCTCCGAGCAACTTCTCGTTCTTTTTCAAGGCTTCTTGCAGATATCGAAGGGATGTGTCCACCTTGCCAAAGTCGTGATACATCATAGCAACATTTATGAAAGTAGCAGCAACATCAGGGTGATCTGTGCCGGAGGATAAACCTAAAAGAAGCAATGCTCGTGACATATGACGTAATGCCAGCTCTGTCTGCTTAAGGCCATGATAGAACAAAGCCATATTCCCATAGCTGCAGAAAACAACAACAATTACCGCATAAATCACACTCCTACAAAGCCCTTTAAGGTTAATTTTTTCTCTCTTCTAATAGTAAACCACGAGCAATCAATTGCGCCGATTAAAAAGTGTAGGAAACACATGTAATGTCACCAATCTTATAAAGAAACAAGGGAAACAGTTGTTGCCTGTGAGCAGTGTCGGGATGATCCAGTCCAAGGCAACGTTCATTTATAATTAGTTCCTTGTGCTGTTGAATTATGGCTCCAGCCATATCTCCGGCATGATATGCAACCATAGCCAAGTAGCTGTAGTCATTTCATATTCAGTATTTGAATCATTGAAGAAAAAACAAAAATAAACAGGGGTAAGTTTTAATAAGAATTACCGGCAACAATTTGCAACCTCACGATGCATTGGACCAGTGACCTGCAATTTCGACCTTGGTTACATATCCTAAGCTAATGAATAACATAAAGACCATATGAGGACTACAGATGATTACTTGCTGGAGAAGGGTGAAAGCTTGAGAAAACAAAGTGAAAGCTTCCGGGAGATCTCCCTGTCAAGATGAAGGATATGAGAAAATTTAGTACAATATATTGAACCATGCAGTGATGTGACCACTAGAGATTTGAATCCCGGCTATGATTTGGCCCCTACAAGAGACCAGTAGTAGAATTACACAGTATCATGCATGACTGGAATAGGTCATTTATGTTCATAGTTGTGTATCATATGAAAGACAAAATCAGGAATAATCTTTTAACATATCTTCCATAATAAGTTCGAACAGTTAACTACAGCTGAAAATGCACAAGGTTAAACACAAAAATCAATGTCAATATGCTTTGTAATTACATGACATCATGCCAAGTCTCTACGGTAGCCAAATGCACATTTTTTCTCAATCAACTACTACAAAGTAATGTTGGTACATCAAGACAGTTTTTGTCGCTTACCTCTGCCAATTGAATTTTTCCAGTTTCAATCAGATCCTTGGCTTCTGAACAAACTGGGATTGCATGTTTCACGACTGGCTGAATATTTAATATATCTGAAGCTTGGAAAGGTGACGAAGCATCAAAATCATATTTGCGAGCGGCAATGGTGATTCCAACCTGTCATTGTCCCATGCAATCCATAAGCATGCTTCAGATATTGAGTGGCTTACAAAATTGAATACTATCTTTAGAAAATAGACATCTAAGTGTATCATGAACACAAAACATCAGAAGAATGAATAATAAATAAGCAGCAACTGCAAATACCTTTTGACAAAGATTTCGTACAACTGAGATTTTTTTAACCCGCTGCCTTGAATCTTCAGGTAATTCAAACTGCAGAAGAGAAACCTCAACAAAAAACATCTACAGAGCTCTACTGAAAGCAACACTAAACTTGAGAGAGTAATCAAGAAACCTGGTATTTGAGTTTGGCAAATTCTTGAATATCGGCCCATAAACTATCAGAGGTGATATTCAAATACAAGGACTGTTTCTTCTTTGTATATCCTCCAATGGGTGACTTAGCTTGTCCTTTTGAGGGTTTCCCGGGGCTATGACTTCCTGAATGTGCCTGTATGATATGAGCAGGGATTTTAGGATTTTGTAGACAACAAGAAACTACAAAAATGAAATTTGTAATATTGATATGAACAAATGAACAAATAATCTTGTGACTAATTTATGTGTTTCCAACTTTTACATCATTACAGAACTTGCAACAGTAACGTCAGACATTTTCTACAGCTGTATAACAGTGGTCAACAAAGACACAGGAGAAACCAAGAACAACATCAAAGATTGATTTGCACACTGGAAGAAACATCCAATGATAATCATTGATAAACAATTACCTTTTTCTGGGATTTTGAGTGTGAGATGTTCCCAACACCCTTTGAAGAAACAGAGTGAACTTTTCCCAACAAAGAGTTGAAAAAATGAGAAACTGCATGGGCAAGATCATGATCCTCTGCATCTCTTAGTATGTCCTGCAATATTTGAACAAGAAGCAGAGTCATGAATAGGAAATTCAAACCATTCCATGGTAGGCACACAGCAGTCAATGTAATACAATTTTGGCATTTACCATAACCAAGAATGTGATTGCAAGATCAATGTTGCTATATGCCAGCAAAAAGAATGGCAGTGAACAATTAAATTGTCAGTCACAACTCACCTTAACAATGTGTTTAACAGATCTGACAACAATTTCATTCGTACAAAGATCCCATAAGTGAGGCATATGTTTTATCCCATCAGCTATCTGCAACACAATAGAGAAATATTAAATTGATGAAGCAAAAAGAGCTAAAATCAGGTTTTCTATAATACATATATATATATTGAAAATATATTACAGCAAAGCAGGAGTTTGTTCCTACCTTTCCAATATAACGAACATTAATGCCATGGGCATGGAGTGCTTCAGTTAATGTTTGTCCATCCATAGGTGAAACTTCAAGGATGCAAAGATCTTGTATGAACTTTGGCAACACAACATCTTTAAGATACAGGCTTGCTTTTTGGACATTTTCCTCATCCGACGCAATTTCCTGTAAAATATTATATTGAAGAATTCAACAAAAGAACTTCAAGAAATTATTTTGAATTATGTATACACGTCAGAGATATGCTACCTCTGGATCACCAGCAAGCTTAAATTCAGTAAACACATTGGGGTTGAAGAGTATCTCTTTGCTTTCATCTTCACTCCTAGAGTGTGAGAGATCTTGAAGCTTTTGCTTTTCATCCTTTTCAACATCCTGCCAAGTCCATGCACAATAATATGCATGGCACAAATGCAGGACAATGAGTACTGGGACAATGTGTTTGTTGGATGAATAAAATATAAATATATAAAATGATATATTTCCCATTAATGGAAAAGGTATCGCATGTATTGTGAATACGGCGGAATGAAGAACACTTGCATATGAGGGCATTTGTTAGATGAAATATGACTAAATGACATTGATGTCACTCTCTATCAAAATTGGTGTATCTCTCTATCAGCTTAAATTTTTAGTTCAAGTGGTTATCTAATGTTCATTACAATATCATAGAGCCATACAAAATACCCAAGGTTGTGTTTTGTTTCTGGAGTTATGGTTTTGTATTTGGGTTTTGAATAGTAATATTGAATTGAAATAGTTGTTTGATGTGATATAAATATATATTTATGTAATATTTTGAATGTGAAATTAAATCTTAATATAATATAATAAATGAAAAATAAATGTTTGATTTGATGTGTTTAGAATAGTAAAACCCAACCAACAGCCCCACAAACAAACACATCTCAAACCTTCACAAAAATTGAAAATCAATGTCACGGACATTTGAATGTGCATTGTCAATGGAGATTACAAGGGTTGCATAGCATATACTCCCTTCATTCCGACTCAATGTGTCATTTTTACCATTTTTGTTAGTCCCACTCACAAATATTAATTTCCAATTATAGTAAAAATTGAGCATTTTGGCATTAGTGAATTATTACTTTTACTAAAATAGAAAAGATTGAGTGGGACAGATGAAAATGATAAAAAAAATACTTTGAGTTGGGACGGAGAGAGTATTATTTCTTAATCTACTACAAAAAAGCAAAAGAGTACATTGGATGGAGACAGAGATAGAGGGAGTATATGACAAGCAATCCTAAGGATTTCTGATATTTCTCATCGTAATATAGCAACAATAACAGTCATGAAAGTTGAACTTAGTGAAGGTAGATTTAAAAAAATAAAATATAGGTCCACCCGGGAACTTAAGCTCAACTAGAAATTTTGCTTAGCAAATCCCCCGGACTTCAATTCAGGTATTTTCAGACAAGTCCCTCACATATTCAGTACACTACAACTTTTTATTTTTTATTTTTTAAATCAAATCCAAGTTGCTTAAGAACAAAAATATCCATCTTAACAATGACAATGAAGTAAGCAAGCCGATCCCAAACAGACTTAATTCTATTATAGTTGTTTGACTTCATTCACATAATTTTAGATGCGCGTGCACATCATAGTCAAGCCTTTGTGTACAACTCACTACAGGCATAGAATTGTCAAGGGTAGTAGTTTTAGATATCTCATTTGCAACAAATTCTCTATGATTGCTTCTTCACATTGAGAGGGCGGGCATGCATATAATACTTGGTCCATGACCTGGAACTATAAATCCTTTTTCTTAAATGACAGAACGGGTGCTTCAAATGTGTGTATTGAGTAAGAATAAGAACGGATTACTTTTATTTTCAAAAGAATATGTAATTTTATGACATATATGTTTACATTAAAAGGATTATAAAGTAACTATCACCACCTGTACCTGTGTTTCACTTGTTGCAGATGCTGCATTATCCTCAGGTTTCACCACTTCTTCAGTGCTACTTGGATTCAAAGAATCAGAAACAGGATGCACCAGCTTTAAATGAGATGCCTTTTCTGAACCCTTACCTGCTTCAGCCTTTTCACAATAAAGCAAAATTTTCAGAACATAATATAACTAAAATGGTCCAACTCTCGAACTAATTCTGCTTTTAGAAAGCTAAATCTTACATGACAGAAGCTAGATATTAATTCCGGTCTCAAAATGCAAAATCTGGAACCTGGTCCAGTATAGTTTGCATCACGCGGAGTGGCTCTCATCAAATCCAAAAGGTAATGCCTGTGTACATCACAATATAAGCAACATAAAGAGGAGTACTGGTTTAAAATAACCTTTTTATATATAGGGAAACAAAGAGAGCTGGGAGCTTGCATGTGAAATCATGGTAGTTACAGCACAGAAGATTCAACATTTTGCTAAAGAAATGTCTAGTGAGCACGAAAACAATAGCTTTTATGCATTAAATTGAATTAATTTCACTTAGGACATAGAACACATAACAAGAAGTATAAATATTTCATACAAAATTGAAGGGCCCGACAATGAGGCAGGACTGCCCATTCTTCGACTAAAACCTATATGAAGTGAAATTTTTAAACAAAACAGGTATGACTCTGGAAAGCATGCGATAACAAAGCTTAGTTTCTCTAGTTGATAGTTTTAGAAATTAATTAACTGAAGACCCATAATCTGAAAAAGAGATGTCACCTATCATCACTACCAACAATTCCCTTGCACTCTACCGGTGCAGCTAGTACAACAGCATTGCCTGATCCATCAAGCACAGTGTGCTCCTTCAGATGAAGACGTTTCGCAGCTTCCAGTAGCTACAGAGTAGCATGAATATTAATTGGTTATGTAAAATATCTAGCACTAACAGCTAGAGAAACCCACAAAACTAACACAGATATTAGTACATTTTTACTCCACAAAGATGGCAATTCTCATGATCAGGGTTGCATTCCAAGAGGAAATAGATCTCAATTTCATGGTACAGAATATGACCATGTTAAATAGGAAAATTCAGCAAACTCCAAGTAAGTCATTCTAGGATCCAGATAAATGCAGAGTAAAATGACTAAGACTCATTTATACCTTTGAATGAAAATCTTCACTCCAGCAAATTTTCTTGCCATTGTCAACAGAACCATATAGGAGCGAATCAGATTTATCACCTTGAAGTATTCCAGGCAAGACACTCTGGAAGAAGGAAAAATGCATACATGCAGTCAAGAAATGTTAGCGATCAAATTTTAGCATATTGTCACTTGATATAGAGAAGGCATGAGCATTGCATACAGAGTCCTCCTACAGACCCAAAGTTTTGGAAAGCAACATGAATCCACTCCTGTTAGTTTTTGAAACTAGGTGTGATAATTGCAAATTGAAGTTACAGTGAAGCGACATAGCAAACACAGAAATGCAACTAATGAAGAAGATAAAAAAGGCAGTAAAATGACCAAAAACCAAGGAGGGAAGCTAATAGTGGATGAGGATGCAGAAGACAAAACGATGAACACAGATCCATAAATTCTGCTAAACACAACTTTCAAGTAAATATGCACCTGTGCAACAACTCGATGGCCTCTGTAATCTATGATAGCCATAGCTAGATTGTACAAACCAGGAACATCTGCTTCCTGGTATGCTTTGGTGCCTTTCAAGTCATTATTTGCACTAGCATACGTGGCTTGCTCACTTTCAGACAACTGTGACTCTGCAGGCATGTCAGGGGATCGTGCTTCAATTGCATTGATATTATCAGTATTTGGAACAGCTGATTCATCCCCATCAGGAACTCTATGATTTCCTTGTTCTTGGCCATTCTCCAACTTCTCAGAATTATTCTGAGTAGACACTTTAGTTTGGACTTTAGAGTTTTCTTCTGATCCCTGCTTTCTGGACAACTGCTCTAGATCAGAATCAACAGCAAAACTGAAGAATATGTTGTTATGAACATACCTGGAATAAAAAATAAAAGGATATCAGTTTACATCATTAACACAAAAAACAATTAAGCTAGTGTCTAACTAAATCACATAAGTTGCAACTATCTTCCATACACTCACATATGAAAACACTCTGGATCAGTTGGATTGATAGGTGGTATACATCTATTTATAACTCCTAAGGCGCCACTCATCGCAGCATCAACAAAGTCAGAAGTCACTTTGTGAAGAGCTCTATCTCTCAAGATCCTGAAACAAAGTGGCAGGTAATAGGGTTTAGGGTTATAAATAGTTGTGAAATGTGAACCTTGCAAAAATATCTTGAAAAGTAGCACCTTTCTTGTTGTGAAGCATGTGGAAACTCCCGACAAGATTGCAACTCTTCATTCCAATCTCTTTGCATACCAATAAGTTCACTTCCAAAAGATAGAGTCAGAGCATTTTCAGCTCGGGAAGCATCACGTTTGTGATCTGACACCACCATTACACATAAGATGTTTGTCAAAATTTGTGAACTTGGATGAAAAGGAGATGCACAAAAATAGATGATGGGAAACCTGGGAGAATGATATTATAAACTCATGGTATTCCATTATAACACCATTAAGAGGCAAATAAATTGGAATATTGATTTAGATGTTTGGCTGAATACTCCTGTATAGAATATACTAAAGTGACAGTGAATAAATTAAACTAATTGTATAGAAATGGAATGCTGGATGCCTGAATCGCCATAAATGTCATGAGCCTAAAAAACTCTTGATATGATGGATTAAATCCTCTTCCAAAATAGGCCCTCGATTAGTTTTTGTTCCTAACATAAAACAAGCATCCGAATACCAGACTCAGAGAGTTAATCAAAATTTACAGAATCAACAGAATGAATGCATCGTTGAAACCTTTAGCAGGCCAATACATAAAAGTTGCATAATCCACCCTCTGCTCAACAGATTCCAGATAATGATGTGGCAGAAATACTCAAGTATCTCCATATGGTATCTATCATTGGCTTTAATGTGCTCTTCAGGAGCACAAGGAGGGTTAAAACAGGTAATAGTGAGGACCACGAACAATCCTAAGATATCATTATGGAATAATTCCCATCGGAAAGGAAGGCAATTAGGATATTTCAAAGAGATTATTGTCTGTGCACATCAGTCTAAAGTGAACAAATTCACTAACCAACTACAAAATATAAGAGAAGGCACATCTAATCTACTAATGGCATGAAAAGTACCTGGCCAGAAAGATAGTGAGACATACCAGGAACAGGATACAAGCCCAGCCATGTATTTGGTAGCAACAGACATTGGACATTTTCAAATGGATGCGCAGAGGCCTTACTCTCCAAAATTTCACGAAAAGCTATCAATAACAGCAAAGGGGAAAACGAAAAAAAAAAAAAAAAAAGGGGGGGGGGGGGAAAAAGTAAGCTATCATGATCATCAACATTAAACAAAATTATGCAAATTTTGGTACCTTTCTTGAACTTTGGGCTTATTTTCTGGAGGAGTCCAACAAGTGTTGTTGCTTCAAAAGAAGATTTATGTGGCTTTGGATCCAGAACATTGCCAGTGCTTGAGTTAACGTAGAAACCTTTTGTTGTTCCTGTAGTACAATATTTATTTCCTTCCAGCGTTGCCACATCCAAATAAAGCAAGTCTCCAGAAAGCCTGAAACATCCACGTCAGGTTTGTTAACAAGAAGCTTAATAACTATGAGAATTAACATAGGGTAGGGGTCGGAATAACAAAGCTTGCAACTTCTGAATAATACATGATGATAGAGTTACAGTTAATACAAACCTTCTGTGGCTTGGAGGAGGATTGAATGAAGAGAATACAATATATTCGACACACTTAATGTCTTTGGAGGGAGAAGACAATAAGTTAGAGAGTGAGCCAGCAATGTTCTCCATAAAGCCCAAACTCTCTAGCTCTGCCATGTCAGGCTTAGCAGTATCTGCATATAAAAAGAGGAAAATGAAATGAGTTTTAATTTCAATCCAAATTAGTACCAAAAGAAAGAAAGAAAGAAAGAAAAGGAAAAGCAAAAAAGAATTGATGCATTACAAACCTCCTAACCGAGAAGAAGCATTTTTCGCTGTTTCATGTTGTAGTGCAAGCAGTGTAGACAGTGATGAGTGCAATGTTGAAAGAGAAAGCAACTCTCTAGTTCGGTGTACATGAGCCCTGATGGATCGATCATCATATATTGCTGCAAAGGACAGACTTGAGTTCAGAGTCTACAAGCAATAATTTCAGAAACCCCCTACTTCAACAAGATAATACCCACGCTGCTTCTTTTTCTATCAATGGTATCATGTAGCATTTGTTTTAAAGTACACAGAATTTTTATAAAGTTAATATTAGATCAGTCATTAATGAAAGATATAAAGAACTTTTAGCATAAATTTGGGTTACGATAAGTTAATCCCACCAACTTATGAATCCTTGATTTAACTATTATTATACCAGAATTTAATGACACACGAATTTAATCATTGAAAGTAAACAAGTGATGAATTGGATAAAACAATATTATCCAACCAAAACTCTAAAGTCTAAACTCACCATAATGAAATCTAGCCACCATATAATGTACCCAAAAGAGAACTGAGGATCAAGTAATCTTACCTGAAACCATCTCCAAAAGGCAGCTCCCGCTAGTAATATCAGCAACTTCAGAAATTTCATTGTAGTCTTCAAGATGATGAATACCATCTTTTGCATGAAGTAACAAATCGTAACAGGTAAAATAACATGTCTCTGGAGCTTCAAGAAGAAACTGCCGTACATCCAGCACAGAATCTACCGGACTCAACTGCAAACCCCAATTTATTTTAAACTTTAAATCCATAATTCAGATGAAAACAAATAATAAATAAATAATCAGTTAAGTTTGACATATAGAAAAGAACCAGCAACGATACAATAGGCACCGTAGGTAAATTGATAGGCAAGAAAGTTAACCATGACACAAAAGAGATAAAAGGAAACAAGATTTTAATTCAAATAGCCATTAACTCATAGTTCAACTTACTTGTAGCTCAAGCTTTTCCCCTCCTTGTGTTTTTACAGAAACAGGATAAAGATGAATACCAGCTGTAATAAGAACAAAACATTAGGAATCATCATGTACTAATGCCGGTGAATACATCATCAGACACATTTTGTGCATACCATGTGCATTATTTGTGCATTCAGATTTGAAACAAAATAGCAGAAATATGCCAGACGAATGGTAATAAAATAAGTAAACAAATAAAATCACAAGGGAATATGATACCACATAAGTCATAAATCTAGGGAAATGAAAATCAGAAACTATCACAACCCGTGGTTTTGTGCATGATTTGCATATTGAAATTTAAAACAGATCAGCAGAAAAATGCAAATAATAATAATAATAATAATAAAGCTATAAAACTTCAGGGGAAAAAGAAGTCTAAGAAACTAACATTCCACTGTGAACATAAAACAGGGCTACAAACTAACAACAATACTAATAAATAAACATAAACAGATAATCATGCATTCAAAAATCAAAATCACTGGAAAAATTGATTATCAGACATCCAAATCAAAAGAATTACAAACAAAGAAAAGAAATATATGTAGGAAAGTCATGATATTATGCACGAAGAAAACAAATAGTTCTTCACTGAGGTCTCTTCACAAGTACACCCTTCCTCAGCCGCATATTTGCAGCAGACAACACACATAGTGGTGTGGAAAATCCCACAGTTACATAAGTGTGATAAATAGATCTCACAGTGTGTTGTTGATCCATCACTTACAATATGTGCAGATACTAAGAAAGCAATGATGATTTTGTAAGATTCCATTATATGATAGATTTGAAGAACACATACTAACAAATGAGAAGCTTCTAAAGACGATGACTATAAACAGTCTTAAGACCAAAGAAATTACATAAGTTTTACAGAATTACAATTGCAACCCCTAACATAAACAACCACCAAATATGCACTATCAGAAACACAGATAGGAAATTGGATTTCCCACCATGAAAGTGTGATTTAAGAAATCTTGATCCAATACATAATCTTACAACCAATTCCACTGCTTATCAAAGCCAACATAATACTTGTGTGAATGAGCACAGCTCGTAAACAATGTTCTTTCCATTTTTTAAGACTCATGAATTGACAGTACCATATTTCCTTTCAGTAGTATCACTTCTTTATTGCATGCGCTGAAAGTATATACAGAGTCAAGGCATCTCATAATGTGACCAATCTACTTCAGATAAATTCAAAAGTTAAGATCAGTTGGACCACCTTGTTTAGTTAGGACCTGATCGGTTGCATTATTTTGGTCATTCACCTCTGGCTTCGCACCATTTGAATCATTCAAGCTCACGTCCCCATTTTCCTGTGCATTGCTGGTGCCGTTGTTCAAGGTAGCAGCAGAAGAAACAGGCTGTTCCGTTGAATTTACAGCACTTTGCTGAGACCCTCTACGAGATCTCCCCTTGCCCGACTTACCAGCCATATTTTCTGCTTAAATCAAGAAAACCATACACCTGTTACAACTAGGCATAAAAGAAAGATTAACTTCACGGTAACAAGTGAGAATCATCTACCGAAATCCATCACAGGAATAAATGTGACATTTGAAGTAATTGAAGTTAAAAAAAAAAAAAAAAAAAACCCAAAACTCTTTACTTTACACCATTATGATCGAATAATTCATTCCCATGTTTCCATAATAGAGAATTTAGGTTTCAATGGAATAAAACTCACCACATTCAAATCCCTGGACAAACTAGAGACATTTCTAACCTCCAAAGTACAACGGAAACGAATCAATCTCTCCATGTTCACACAGACAACCAATCCAAGTATTACATATAATTAAATTACCATCAACTTAAACCCTTGCATCATCAAACAAAGATAAAAAAAAGCGATTAATAAAAATCATTTCATAAAGACCGCCATTTCCACCCAAAAACCCCCTTCCTCCAGACTGCCACAAATTAAAGAGAAAAGCTGAATATTACAGAGCACACGAGGACCGACCATACACAGATACGTATAAGCTCAGAAGCACGCACACACAATGCGATTCAAGAGCATCAAACCTCGTTTACTGGAATAACTTTCGCAAACAACAATACCTGGGGAAACTGATATTGATTGCAATCCTAGTGGTTGCTTTGCAGCAGGTCTCCACTCCGGCGCTCCGCCTCCGGGAAGGTCTGGCGGCTGGCTGGGGTTTATGGAGGGAGAGAGAGAGAGTGGCTGAGAGACGGCGTATGCTTTAACCCAATTTTTATATTATGTATATGTAGTAAAATCATTTTTTATTATAATTCTGACGTGGAAATCCACAATTGGCCTCCGCATTTTGCTTGTATTGTAAAATGTGCCCTCTCTGATGTACTTTGGTGTTCTTGTCTGTTTTATGGTTAAATTTAGGCTGTGTTTATTTTCATTTAGTTTGAATTTTTTTTAATTTGAATATTATATTAAAATAATATATGGTGAATTATTTTGTAAAAAGAAAACATATATACTTTTTAAAAAATACAAGAAACACACTAATCCGTAAAATAAGAAAATCATTTTTACTGTGTTTGTCTGTGTGTTTTAGTATTTGGATTTATATTTTTTAACAATAAAAATGTTAAATTTAAATAATTATTTAATGTGATATAAATAAAGATTGATATGATATTTTGAATTTAAAATAAATTTGTAGTATAATATTAAAAAAAATTATTTGATGTGATATTTTTTTGAGAAAAAAAAAATCTGAACAATAAAAACTGCAGTAAAATTCAACACAACCTTTAAGTAAATAAATTTTCAAAAATATATTCGATGCTTTTCATTTCAGTCTTTTTCATATCATTTATATTTATTTGAAAGATTTTAGGGTCGGTTTGTTTTGTGAAATAATTGAAATAATATAAGAATAATGTGATATAGATATATACTCTTTTCGTCTCATATTTATCTATCTATTTATTTTTTGTACAGTCAGAAATATTAGTATTATATGGAATATAGTAAAAATAAATGTAAACAAAAACTAAACTAAACTTATTAGTATTGTATGATATAAAGGTAATGAAATTTGTATAATATATTGTAAATTAGAAAGGTATTTATAATATTAGCTAGATAGTACAGTTATTAAAAAAATTGATACTTTTTTATGAGACGAACCAAAGTGAAAAAATAGATAAATTATTAAGGGACGAAACAACTATAATATATATTAATATGATACTTTTATGTAAAATTAAATTTTAGTGTAATATAATAAATAAAAAATAAATATTTAATTTATCTTTTTTATGAAAAGAAAAAATTAGAATAGTAAAACTGAGTGTAAATCTTACAAGGAAATACATTTTTAAATATATTTAATAAATATAGATCAAGTTAATTAATTTTAACATATTATATTATATTTATTTATTTATTTATTTTATCTTTATTCAATAAATAAATATATTTATATATATTTAAAATTCATTTTTTAGCTATTTGTATTATATAAATTTTACTTTTTATATTGATATTTAATTATTTTTGTGTTTGTTCGAAGGATTTGTGTAAATTTCTATTATTCATACAATTTTTTTTCTCAAAAATATCAAATCAAATATCTATTTTTTATTTTTTTATATTATACTAAAAATCAATTTTACATTCAAAACATTACATCAATACATATTTATATCACATCGTACAATTATTCAAATACAAAATTTTTACTATTTAAATCTCAATCCAAAATCCAAACTCCCAAGCAAACACACCAGAATGTATTTACTTTTAATATTTAAATCCACGGAGTCTTAAAAAAATATGACATGGGACTGTCATAAAGTTGCTTTCGCTCCTCAGTGTTGTCAAAAGGTTATACTATGTCGGCCGAAATTGAAGTTCTATCAGGAATACCAAAGGTCATAATATTATTTTATTTTATTTTATTTTATTTAATAATATATATATATTATGTATTATTATAATTTGTAATTAAGTAAAAATCGATATGATAGTAACATATTCAGGATTATTTATCTTTTTCTTTTTATGTAGAATTAAATAATACTAATAGTATTAATACTAAAAATATTTTTTTCTTTTATTAATAGCTTAGTATTGGTTCTATCATCAAACAAAGGATATTTTAGAAAGAAAAGTAATAATACAATAATTTATTAAAGTAAATATTATATTAAAATAATTATATAATCAATTAAAATAATATTATGTACTACAATTCTATCACACAAATTAAACACGCTCTGTATATGGTATCATAAATAAAATATTATTTCCTACCCACAACAAAATATTTTTTTTTATTTTAGTCCGTCTCAATAACAAAGTATTCATTTTTTTTTAATAACTGAACTATCTACTAACATTACAAATATCCTTACAATTTACAATATATTATACAAATATCATTACATTTATATCACACAATAGTAATAAGGTTATTTTAGTCATTTTTACTTTATTTCTATTACATCCCAATATAATACTAAAATTTCTAAAACTCCGTACAAAAAACAAACGGATACTTAGTTATGGGACGGAGGGAGTACTATTAATTAAATAAATTTTTTCAAACCCAACTTACTACTTAAATCTTCCCCAACTCGTCTATTGTTTAGGTTGGTTTGTTATTTATTTCAATTTTTTTTTTTTTTTTTTGCTCAATTCATATAATTTTCAATAACAATATTTCTTCATTTTACAGATATTATGTCAGTGTTACTGTAAATGTAAATACGATAATTTATAAGGAGTATAATTAATAAATAATTTAAAATATATTAGTAAAATTAATTACAATATAATACAAATAATTACTCTCTCATCCCATATCTATCTATATTGGATTTTTGCATGGAGTTTTAAAAATATTAGTATTATATTATGATATAATAGAAATAAAGGTAACAAAATTAAACGAATCTTATTAGTATTGTATGATATAAAAGTATGACATTTGTGTAATATATTGTAAATTGTAAATGTATTTATAATGTCAATTAGATAATATAATTACTAAAAGAATAAATGGATAGACTGTTAAATGACGGAGGGAGTATATATTAGAGTTAAATAACTAATTAGTCTAATAAATTTTTTTAAAAAAAATTATAAATTATAAAATTTAAAATATTATTAAAAATAATTCTTTTTCATAAAAAGAAAATGACATAATATGTGAGACAGAAAAAAATAGAAAGTATAACATTATATATATATATAGAACAAAGAGTACTTTATTTGTCACATTTCAATTGATTTTTCTGTTATCTCATTTCAATCATCACGTTCTTATTTTTTTATAAAATTTATTAAATTAAAACATATTTAATATATATAAATTAACTTAATTAATTTTATAAATATAATATCATACATCATGTATGACTCATTCAAAACTCTTATTTCTATTTATCTCTTCAATAAATAAATATTTGTATCCATATTTAATATTTTTATTTTTATAAAATTAGTTTATCTTAATTATAAATAAATAAATATAGATTTTATTTATTTATATTATTTAAAATTTATTCTCTACAAAATAATATTTATATCTTATATATTTTATTGAGATATCATATTTAAAATATTTAAACACATATTTTAAAATTATTTTAATAATGTATATAGTAATTCTTATTTTACCAACAATAATACTCATGTAAAAATACAATACTAAAATATTATAAATCATTATTATTAACTAGTTAAATTTTATTATCTTAAATACTATGTTTCAAATCAAATGAATCATTTATCACAAAATATTATACTATTAAAATAATATTTAAAAAAATAATGAACTATTTCGTTAGGGACATGGTATTTTAAGTAAAGTAAATTAGTAAATTATTAATAATAATTTATAATTTTTTATTTTTTATATGAGTAATATTATTGGTATTTTTCAAAATATTTTTAGGATTATAACTCAATAAAATATATGCAATAATTGATATCATTTTGTAGATAATAAAATTTTATATAATACAAATAAATTAAATATATATTTATATATTTATAATTAACTTAAAACTAATTTTATAGATAAAAAATATTTGTTTATTGAAGATAAATATAAAAATAAAGAAGTTTTGAGTGAACTCTAAGTTAAAAATTTAATTAAATTAATTTATATTTGTTAAATATATTTAAAATAAATAAATTTACTAAAAATATAAAAAAATAATATTTTATTAGACGAACAAAAAAGGACTGGACTGAGGGAGTACTATAAAATAGACACTTATTATTATTAAATTATATAACATTTCAGTAAAAATGCACAAACCACCCTATGATTTATTTATTGCGTGAAATTCTTTATGTTAATGTAAAATTTGCACGAAAGACCTTCCTTATCCAAAATTGATATTTGGTTCTGAATAAAGACATAAGTTACCCAAATTTTATACAAATAAAAAAATAAAATATCTTAAATATTTTTTGAATAAAATAAATAAATAAATAATTGATTAATCCTTTATTTTATAGTTTTTGAAACAAATGGTTATCTATTTTTATAAAACTATAAAATTAAATAATTGTTCAATTATTCATTTATTTATTTTATTCAAAAAAATTATTTAAAATATTTTTTTTGTTTGTATAAAATTTACGTAATTTAGGTATTTATTAATAACCAAATATCAGTTTTAAACAAGTAAAGTATTTCGTGCAAACTTTACAATAACATAAGGGAGTTTCACGCAATAAATAGAATATAGGATGTTTCGTGTATTTTTATTAAAACAAAAAAGAGTGTGATATAATTTACCCTTATTATTATTATTATTACTCCTTCTATCTAGGCTATTATGTCCCTTTAATGTAGGCATAAAAATTTTAAAAAATATATAATTAGTAAATTATTAAAAATATATTAATGAAAATAATTATAAATTAAAATTAAATAATTAACTAATTTAATTAAAATTTAAAAAATTATAAATTAAAAATTTTAAAATAAAATTAAATTGTATAATTTTTTTCTAGAAAATGTAAGCTTATTATTTGTGCGCATTTGAGTACGCGGACTTCAAGTGGCAAAAGGCGTTGACATACTGACCAATCAGACAAAACGTGGGCAGCTAAAAGAATGCAGCGCCTATAGTTGACTCGTTGACTTTACATAACAGATGACCAAACCGGGTTTGTACTGTTATTTTATTTTATTATTTTTGTTGATTTTGAATAAAGAAAGTATATATATTTTATTTAGAAAATAACAAAAGTTAAATTTTAAAAAATAAAAAATTTGTTTACTGTGTTTAGTCAGTAATTTTCGTTTTAATTTTTTATTTAAATAATATTTTGTAAGATAAAATATTTTTTTATTATTCACAATGTTAAATAATAAAAATAATTTCTAAGTGAACCAAACCTTATGGTTTGGTTTTGCAATTTTATTTTGAATAATATTAGTTATAATACATTTTTGATGCAATATTTTGCTAAATAAAATAAAATAAAATAATACTCTCCATTCGAAATTTTTTTATATCATTTTGTCTCCATACAAATACTAAAATATAATACTTTTTTTTTTCTCAAGTCAAAGTATTTTTTTTTACCATTTTTATTCGTTTTATTCAAAAAATATCACTTTTCTATTTTAGTAAAAATAATCATATACTAATATCAAAATATATTTTATTTTTACGTGAATTACAAATATAATATTACACGAATAATTAATTTATATATAAAATCAAAGAGCAAAAATATCAAAACTTCTTACACATTTTCACTAATCAATAGTATTATTTTTTAATTTACTAGAAAATTTTGAATAATTTGAAGTGGGACAAAAGAAGTACTATATTGTATTTGTATTATATTCTCGATTTCCTTTTGGTTTGTTTCTAGTTTGTTCATGTTCTTTTTCCCATCCATTCAATTTTAATTTGTGGACTATTCCATGATTTTTTTATTTTTTATTTTTTAACTTCAAAATTATTAATATATATATATAATATAAAAAATATTATAAATAAACAAACCACCACAAATAATATTAGATCTTAAAAAAAAAAAGTTAGATTAAAGTTATAGTAAATATATTTCTGATACATTTATATACATTTTAAATGCCAAAAACCAACCCTACCCTTTATTTTTATTTTTCCTTCAAGAAATATTAGACAAGTAGGCTATTATATATTACACATACTATAATATAAAAATGTAAAATATTATACTCCCTTCGTCCCAGAACTGGGTTATGTTTAACATAGTGGGTAAAAAATATAGATAAAAGATTTTTTTACCCTTGTGAATATATTAGTGTAAATAGTAGTGATAATTGTATATTAATAATAAAAAAATATATAATTATTTATGAAAATGAGACTATTGTTTTCGAACAGACAAAAATGGTAAACAAGACTATTGTATTGGAACGGAGGGAGTATATAAAATTTATTGTGTACCAACATTAACATATGTAAACTATATATGCAATAAACTTCACGTAGTATATTATATTTTATATATTTAAATTAAAAGAGAGGTAATATATATTTCCTCCGTTCCTTAACAATCTATCAAATTTTCCATTTTGGTCCATCCCATAATAAAGTATTCATTTTTTTAGTAATTGTATTATTTACCTAATATTACAAATATTCTTTCAATTTACAATATATTACACAAATGTCATTACCTTTATATCATACAATACTAATATGATTAATTTAGTCTTTTTACCTTTATTTCTAAATTTATCCCAATATAATACTAATATTTCTAAAATTCCGTAAAAAAACAAATGAATATATAGATATGAGAAGGATGAGTATTTCATTGCATAAAACATCATATATAAAATTATCACATAATTTACCAATTATAACCAAAATCATGTACAAGATCCCTTTCTTTTTACAAATTAGAAGCGTTATCTTCGTTTTTCATAATGAATACTTGTGTGTTTGTTTGGCAGCTTAGATTTTGGGTTTGAGATCAATTTAAATAGTAAAAATTTTGAATTTAAATAATTATATAAAGTGATATAAATAAGTATTGATATAATTTTTTTAACGAGATTTTTTGTTTTTTTTTTTTACTGGTATATACATACGTAGATGAGAGAGATGCATGTATCTAGGAGTTGGTCAGTATAGTCAATTTCATATTCCATATTATATATTGTATTAAATTTTTTTGTATGGTATTTTGTCATTATCATACCATACTAAAAATTCGATACGATAGATATATATACCATAAGTACCAAAAAAAAAAAGTACCGTGTGATAATTTAATATAAATATTTATATGTATCGAATATAAAATATAAAATAATATACAGTATTTTTGGTATATGCTGATCAAATACCGAATTATTTCGATTGTTGGTATATAAAGAAAATATCAATTTATTTATTTTTACGGTACCGGAAGAGTTCGATACGGTATCATATATACCTTACCAAAACTTCAATATTATTAATATTTTATTTCTATGCAATATGTGTGGTATTTTCGTATTTTTTTTCCACACCTAAATATTGACAAAGTGAAGTTTGTCAACACCTCTTAAAATAAGAAAATTATTCCCACAAAAACAAAAACAAATTGCAGATTCCGACAGCTGAAACCTAATTATTATACCAGAAATTAATCTAACTGCTGACCAATTCAAGATACCAAAAATGTCAACTTCATATCCCAATCCCCCTCTTTAATTAGAAACCCTAATTTCATATCTCATCTGTCCCTCCCACCCCACCCAACCCCCACCAATGGGGAAGCCACCTTCTTCATCCCAAACCCAAACCCAAACCCAAACCCGAACCCATTTCAGCCATCCACACCCCCTGAAGCTCATCTCCTCCCCCAATTCCCAAACCCTAATTTCATCAGTCTGTGCAGGATGCAAGAAGAACTCATCTGGCCCGATCTACATCTGCACCATTTGCACAACCTTCTTTCTCCACAAGAACTGCTTCGACATGCCCAAGAAGATCACCCACCCTTTCCACAAGGCTCATCCTTTCTTCCTCTTGCCCGACCCGGCCTACGCCGAAGGGATCTTCAGCTGTGATGCCTGTCGGGAGCCTGGCAGTGGCTTCTCCTACCACTGCAAACCTTGCGGCATCGATCTGCATATACTTTGCGCCGCAATGCCGCTCTCGGTTTCGCATGCCTGTCACGTGCATGAGCTTCATCTTGCTTTTGAGAACCCTTATGGTAAGAATTATCAATGGTTGTTTGATTTGGTTTGAGGATTTATTAACCCTTAGCTTGTGGGGTAAGATTATTAGTTTTCTTGGCTTGCTTTTGGAAATGTTTGAGGTTTTTGGGTTATTGATTGTTAGGTTAATTTGTTGTGATTTTGGAAACTCTTGTGGTAGTAGAGATTAGTCTTTCTTGATCTTGCTTTTTAGAAACCCTAATGGTAGAGATTTGATTTCCTTGCTTTTGGTACAAAAGATTATTATTATTTTTTTCTAGATTTTGAAAACCCTTTTTTAATATTAACCCACGTCTGTAATATCTGAAGCTTCAGATTTGATCTCGAAAATTCAGTGGTATTTTGGAATTTTCAAAACCAATGATGAATTTTACTCTCCGGACATCTTTCTAAAGCAAATTTGAAAATTTAAGAAAATAATTTCGAATATATTTTAAATTTCAAGATAATTTTTTAAAGATAAATTAATATTTTCTTATAGTGAAAACAAAAAGAAAGCAAAAAAGTCACCAATGGTTAGATCTCAAAAATTCTCTAAATAATATATATATATATATATATTAAATTTGACCATTATGCATTGCCTTCTTAAATTATTTTGTTTTCATACTATTTAGTCTCACTCTACCATAGTGGAATATATATATATATATATATTCATTTTTACCATTTTAATTTATTAATAAAAATATGTGTTTGTCCCGGATGGTCCGGTGGTGGTGTAGGAGTTGGATTTGTGATCGTGACACCTCAGGTCATATGTGTAAAAGTTAAATATATTTTGGTATTAATTTATAATTTATTTTTTTAAAACGTAGGACATTTTCTTTATGTTATATGACAACCAACGGCTATATTTTTCATTTATTTAAAATATTATCATAAAAATCTCATTCCATCCCGTGTTTACATCCTATTATTCCTATATATCGAACACCTATTTTTTTTATAATCCATTTTTCTACTATTCTCGAAACAATCCAAAACACTTCTAAAACATATCAGTATTAACAATCTTTTTCAACAGGTGGCAAGGCTTATAGCTGTGATATATGCAAGAACGAGGGTTCAAGCAATACATGGCTTTATAGGTGCAATTCTTGTGAATTCGATGCTCACTTAAACTGCACAAGAACACTTCAATCTCCTCACCCACAAATCAGCAAAAACTTCGATGCTTTTCCCGCTCATGGGCCGACGCCGAGCCCCGAAATGTCATACTTTAGATCAGCTCCGCAGCCTCATCAGGTCCCCAATGGCGCGCCGCATTTTGCGCCTCATCCTCATCAGCCAAACGTCTTTGCGAATCCAAACATCCCGGCCGCGGCAGCTTATGGAGTTCCCGTCGGAGGAGGACAGGTCGCGCAGCCGTTTGGAGCAAACAGGTATTACATATTTTTGCAGAATTTTAAAGTCGCATATTATTAATAATGAAATCAACGCATAGGTTTGTGTGTTGACTTGATCAAATCAGTATTATGCTAATTTGATTAAGTCAACGTATATAATGCAAACAATGCATAAATTACTATATGTGAAAATTCAATATACAATACATATTCTAACAACATATGATAATACAATATAGTACAGCACAATATAGTATTAATTTTCAGTACAATAAACATATATAAAACTGAAATACTCCCTCCATCCCTGTTCAAATGAGGAATTTGGGATTTTTACAATAGATTAAGAAATAATAGTATTTTATTAATTAGCAGAAGTGTGTAAGAGGTTTTGACATTTTTGCCCCATTAACTGTATGTAAAAAGAAATTGTATGTTTCTAATTTAGATAAAAATTAGATATTTTGGTATTAGTGTAGGATGATTTTTACTAAAATAGAAAAAAAATACTGCGGAGTGAGACGAACGAAAATGATAAAAAAAGTACTTTAAATTTAGACAGAGATAATACCATATATAAATTGCACAACACATATGCTTTCATTACACTGTGCTATATGTCTTGAATTTAGGGTGCTAATTGTGTCAAATCAACACTCTATTAATTTGACTCAGTTAGCACCTTAACTGCAACTAATCAAAGCCTTATAAATATGTATAATATAAACTCGATAGACTCAAATAATAATAACTTAATTTAATGTATAACCAAATAATAACGATATAATTTAGATAAACAAAGATTTAATCTAAATTATTATTAAACTAAATATTTAAAATATTTCAATCAGGGAATATGAAATGATCCTCCAAGCGATTCAACAAATGAACAACAACAATGCAGCAATGCTACAAGCCGTTATGGCCGGAGGTTACGGCGGCAATAGGGGGCCGCAATACGACCAGATGATGCAAATGATCGCCGCTTTTAATAATGGTGGCGTTGGCGCCACCGGCGGCGCGATGAACGCTTTCGGAAATGGTACTGGCCAATTGCTGCAAAGCTTGATGAGCAGCGGCGGCGGCGGAGCTTTTGATGTTTTGCAGAATTTGATCGGAGGAGGTGGTGGTGGTCTTGACTTCCTTGGTGGTGCATTTGGCTTAGGCTGAATATAATGTGTATATATATATATGTATGTGTGTTCTTTTCTAATTTAATTTGAATTTTGCAATTTGGTATGATTGAACAATTAAAGCTTTGGAAATGCTTTTGGATTGTAAAAATATATAAGTCATTCAAATTTATTCTCACTTTTCTGGTTATCATCCAAATTTATTTTTATTTTTTTTAGTAAAAAAATATCACTTTTATTTACCAAAAGAATAAAAATTTCTATTCTTACATATTTTTCTTAAAATCCGCGTCCGGTCAAATGAGCATACAATTGGATGACGGAGGGGGTAATAATTAATGTCAATTGATTATATGGAAATAAATTACTACTTTCATCCTCAATAAAGATTATTATTATTATTATTTTAAATATTAGTATTATATTGATTGTAATTAAAAAAATATATTTTTATATAATAAGTTTAATATAAAAATAATTATATTTGTGTAATAAATTATAAATAATAAGGGCATTTATTACGTTAGATAGATAGTAAAATTACTAAATTATGAAATGGCAACGAATGGCGTATTATTTTAATAATTTTGATGAAAAAAATTCAATATTTTAATAAAAATATAATTAATATGAATTTTATTTTTAAAGAAATAAAATTTTACATAATATAAAAAAATAATGATAAAAAATAAAAGTGCCTAACTTGGTGCCAATGTTGAGTATGTCAATTAAAAACATCTCTAGATTAAGATTATTAGGAATCCAAGGAAACAGCACAGTCGGCCAGGCCCAAGGCCCATATTCAAAAGAGGGCCCATATGGCCTATGATTTATATATGTGCTATTATTATTATATTTATTTATAAAATAGGTTTAAAATTTTTAAAATTTTAAATGAGGTATATAAATTTTTTTATTAAATTTATTTATTTTCTGTATAAATTATTTTGATATAGTTTGAAAATTTTATTTTTCAAGTTTCCTATCTTTTATAATTTTTATAATTCAATATAATAGTATAATTTTTTTTAAAAAAACATCATATTTATAAAAAATATATAAAAATCTAGTGAATATGTTCAAAATAACTTAAAATTAACATTTAAATTTTTTTCTTTTGTATATAAATATTTATTAATAAAGAAATTTCTGTTATTTTTGCTTATGTTTTAAATTTTTTATTATTCTTTGTTAAAATATTTAATTTTATCATTTTTTTAATTTTATAAAAAATATATTCTTTTTATTAGAAACTATTCGTGTTGAAAAATAATTTTAACTAAAATTTCAAAGTAAAATTAAAAATAAAAGTGATTTTATTTTCACTTTATATGTTTCATTTCCCTTTATTTACTAGGTATGCATATAATTTATCTTCTGTTATTTTATTTAAACTATAATAAATTAAACCGAAATGATTTTATTCAATAACATAAATATCACTCCAGCTAATAATGAATGAAGATTTTTGAAAAATAAATAAAACGTGCCTATTAGCATGTAACATCTGTGGATGAAATAAAAGCTAAAGATGGTTTAAATTTTTAAAAGAAATGACCAATGATTAAATTAAATTAAATTAAATTAAATGCAGTCATGCCTTATGCTATTATTGTAATAACTGAAGTCACGTTTATAATATAAATACATGTAAGAATCGTGAATTGCGGAGACATGTCCACTCACGCTTTTAAGTTTTTTAATTTTTATTTTTTTGTAGTTTGCTATTAACGCCATCTCCAACCCTCCACTCTATTTTTGCATTGCTGCAGTAAAAAAGTAAAAATGCGGTAATTTTAGTCCAAACCATAAACTTCAAGTTTTACTCTAAAAAGTATATTTCATATATATTCCTCTTTTATATTATTTTATGTAACTTTTCATATTTATAAATTACACTCCAACTTTAATTTATTTTTACATTAAATCCATACACATATAATTTATATTACTTTCCAACAGTAAAATCATATATCAATTTAGAAAATAAAATTATACATTATTTTTTTAAAAAATAAAATTATATTACTTTCCAAAAATTAAAATTATATCACTTTTAAAAAATAAAATTATACATTATTTTTCAAAAATAAAATAAAATTACATACAACTTTTTAAAAAAATTAAAATTACACAATACACCAAAAAAATACCAAAAATATAAAAAACACCACAAAAACTCCACTCAAAAAAGGAGTTGAGTAACAGTGTTACTCCAAAAATAGAACACTGTGCATATCTGCAAAAATGGGGGGGGGGAATTTGGGGTTGGGTTGGAGCCCCTCACTTCATTTTTTTGTTATGTTGGATACGAAATTTAAGGAATATTGATATTATATTGATAGTAGGTAAAAAGTATAGGTAAAAGACATTTTTGCTCTTGTGAGTGTATTACTATAAAAGACAGTGACAGTTGTGTAATAATAATAAAAGAATAAGAGTAATTATATAGTGATATGGTTATTTATGAAAATAAGACTATTGTTTTGGGACAGACAAAAATAAACAAGACTATTGTATTGAGACGGAGAGAGTAATATTTTATATAATATTTTGTGAATTCTGAATATCATATTGCACAATAATCGTCTCACCTAAAAGTTCAAACTATTAATAAATCACGCCATTAATTTATTTATCCACAAAACGGGAGTTCCAAAAATAACAATATAATCTAATAGCTAAAAATAAATATAAAACTAACTGATTAAAATATCTCAACAAATAATATTATCATTAATTATTTATTTTTTACAAGGTTCAAAATTATTTTCAAATTTTAAAAGTAATGAGACTTAGGACGTGTTATTTTGGAAGTGTGTTATATAGTCTATTTTTCTATTCAATTTATTATAAATTAAAAATTATGTATATTATATTTCTGTTGATGTAATTTTTCAACAAAAATAAAGTAAAATTCAAAGATATAGAAAATATCCTTAAACTTGATTAATTAGTGCCTGAGATTAGGAATCTCTAAACACTGTATGGTACAGAAAATAAACTGGAAAATAAAAGACTGAAATTTAAAGTGGTGATCCCAAATCTGACTTTGCTTTGTTGAAGTTGATTGAAGATGCCTTGCCAAATGACGATCCAAATCCTTAAATATTCTTTGAAGAAAACGTTCAGAACCGTCGTCTGGTCAGTTACCATAACCGTTGTTAACCGCCCCAAAAGTTCTCTTCTATTGACACGTGTGTCAACCGTTCTACTACGTCCGACCTTCAAAAAACCGTTCGCCAGTTGCAACTTCCTCTAACCGCCCCAGAACTGTTCTCTCACCCGACCTGCACATGCTACTTCACTTGGTCCGAACTTCGTATCACGTCCTGACCTCAATGCCCGACCTGCTTCTTCGCCCGACATCATTTGGGCCGACCTCCGCATCAGCCGCCCTCCGTCTTTGACCGACTTTAATTGGTCCGACCATGGACCAACCAAATGTGGTCCCGACCACGGACCAACCGACCGGCTCTATTTGCCTTATCTCTTTAGAAGGACAGACTGTCCTCTGGACAGACTTCCGCATCTGTCCGTACCTCTTCCTTGCCCGACCTTTCTCTTGACAAACCTTCGCGTCTGCCCGACTTCGTCTTTCACCCGATCTACGGTTTACCCGACTTGGGTACACCTTTTTTCAGACTCCGCCCGACCTTTCTTCCTTCCCGATCCTTGCATCTGTCCGATTGCACCCTACTTCTGGGTCATTTAACTTATATCCAGACCCGTCCAGAATCCCACTGCCATTATTTATTATTATTATTTTTTGTGCTTAACAATTTCTTTTTCATGTAAAATATTAAATACAATTATTTTTATCTATTAAAAAAAAAGAAAAAAAAAAGGGAAAAAGAAACTTGTACCCTCTTAGATTGAAGAAATCAAAGTTTGAGTGTTAGGTATACTTAAAGGTTGTGTTTGTTTGGAGAATTGGGTTTTAAATATATTATTCATTCCAATTTTTTTTTCAAAAATATTAAATTAAACATTTATTTTTTATTTTTTATATTATGCTAAAAATCAATTTTACATTCAAAACATCACTTCATACAACTATTTAAATTCAAAATATTTACTATTTAAATCTCAACTCAAAATCCAAACCCCAGACAAACACAACAAATCAATTTACATGCATTTAATTAATTTGCTCAAATTGTCTTTAAAAAATTTTAAAACTTTATATATAATTCAAAGGGATGTAATTTAATTATTACTATAAATTTTCCTTTATTTATTTATTTTTTTTTACCAATTCTTTAATCACTCACTCGTTAGAAGAAATCAAGTGGAGTAGGTGATAAGATATTACAATTATCTGTGACATAAATATTTATTTTAAGTTTTTAAACTAGGGTTTGTTTGTTCAGTGAGATTGTTGGATATAATTTTTTTTTATGTCAATTATAAAAAATTGTAGATAAAATATAAAAATAATAAATATGTATAGTGTATTAATATTTTTGAAAAAATTATATGAAAAAAATTTTGTAAAAAGAACAAACTCATAGGGATATATTTATTTATTTGGGTTTGATTTGAGAAGATTTAATTTTAATTTTATATTAAAATAATATTTTATTGGATGTCTTATTTTTTTTTTTTCAAAAACTACATTGTTAAAAGTTTAAAAGTTTTATAGTCAACAAATTCACCCCAACAGTATCATATCATCTCTTACGAGACAACTTTGACGTATAAATTAATTTTATCTGTAATTATATATTTATAATTATGTAAAATATTATAGTATATGATTATTTTTATTAAAAAAAATAAATAAAATATAAAAAAATGATTAAAAAATTGAATTGGAACAGTGGAACTACCATTTTATATTGTTCATAATCAATTTTTTCTTTTTCAATTTAATAAATACTCTATCTGTCCTACATAATTTGTCCATATTTTTTATTTTCGTCCGTCCCACATAACTTGTCCTTTCTATTTTTTGAAATATAATTATACACTTTAATCGCATTTTAAATTTTATATTTTATAATTTTCTTAATTTTAACTAAACTATTTACTTATCTTAATCTTGATCTATAATTATTTTTACTAAATAATAATTATTTTTACTAATACATTTCTTAATTACTTACTAATTATATTTTACCTAAATTCTCGTGTCTACGGTAATACACTCATATTACATGAGACGGAGGGAGTATGATCTTCATATAT